CCACGCGAACAATAATAAGGTAGCAGCAGCTACAGCGGCTACAGCAGTTGCAGCAGAAGCTACAGCTGTTACAGGAGCTGCAGCATCTGCAGATGGAAAGAACGAGGCAGTACAGGGAGTGGGTGGATCGGGGGGACAGGGGAGCGGCGGAACTAAGGGGGTAGGAGGCGGAGGAGGGGGGGGGGGTAGCAGCTGCAGCTCTGGAAAAAGCAGCCGGAAATCCAGCCCAGGCTTCCGCACAGGAAGCAAGAAGGCAACAGGAAAAGCAGCAGGAATGGGCTTGGGTGTGAATACGGGCATGGGGGCAGGCATAGGGATGGGTATGGGGGGTATATCCAAAGCAGGTTTCTACAACGGAGCAGTATCAGTCCACGCTAACCGCGGCTACTGCTGCATGGGAGGGAGAGGCTGCACCGGCGGCCCCTCCTGCCTCCACAACCGCGTGCCTCCCGCTCTATTTATGATGGCAGCTGCTGCCGCAGCAGGCACGGGAATGATACCCATGGGTGCCGTGGGTGCTTACAGGCAGCAGCTGCAGCTGCAGGGGAGGCTGGTGAAGCGGGTAGAGCCTCCTGTGAAGAGGAAGCGGGGCAGGCAGAAGAAGGTCCCTTCGAAGAATGGGCCGTGTGGGGCGACGACGAATTTAAGAGCGCTGGTTCCGAGGTCTATGTCTGGGGCAGGAGGAGCGGGAGGAGAAGGGGCAGGAGCAGGGGCAGGGGCAGGGGCAGCGGCAGGGGCAGGAGGGGTGGGAGGGGGGGGAGCAGCAGGTGTGGGGATGCAAGCAGGGAATGCTGGGGCGATAGCAGCAGCGCGGGCAGCATCAGGAGCAGCAGCAGCACCGATGCAGATCATACAAACATTTCCTCCCGGCCCGCCTGCCTTATTCCCACACCAGTTGATCCCAGCTCCTGCTCCTTCCCACCTGCCTTCCGCCGCAGCAGGTGTAACCCCAGGTGCTGCAACAGTGCCCATGTTCTGGGGGCCTGTGGCATGGATACACCCCTCTGCTGCTGCCGCTGCTGCTGCTGCTGCTGTTAATGCTACTGGTGGCCCCTCACCTATGCTTGTGTCTGGTGGTCATGGCTTGCCAATGCCTCTGCACATGCAGCAGGCAGGGATGGGAGGTATGGGCGGGATGGGGATGGTCGGAGGGATGGGTGGTGCTGACATGGGGGTTGGAGGGATGATGGTACAGGCAGGGGGGCGGGGGCATGAGGTAGCGGGAGTGGGTAGTGATGGGAGGGTTCATGGAGGCCTGATTGGGAGTGGAATGTCGCAGCCGGATGGGACAACATGATGCTGAGGTTTGTGAATCATGAGGTGTATTATTTATACGCTAACTTAATGTACGTTACTAGTATTACTACTACCGTAGGTACTTGCAAAAATTATCTGGACATAACCTGATGACTGTAGAGAGGTTATTTGCCATCGAACTGTTGCAACAAGTGCACATACTGTTCGTATGCAAGAAACAAACATGTTAATTACAATGTATAAGAGGGCTGTATTTCAAGGCATACTACTTGTTACACCATACCCTAACACTCTATGACGAGTCACAAGGAGGGCTTGGTCCCGTCAACCTCTCCATTGGAGATAAGGTGCGCCATGTAGTGCTGGGAGAATAAAAAAGGTCCGTTGGTGGGTGGGGGGATGGCGGGGGTGGATGGTTGATTAAGGGTTGATGGTTGGTTTGACATGGTTTTGAGTGGTTGGAGGGGAGGGGGACAAAGGGGGTGGGTGGCGAAAGCTTACAAAATGCATTTCCTTTGCTCAGATCGGAGTCAGTTATTCCAGACAAACAGGAAAGACGAATGATAGGCATACCGCTCGGCTTGTGCCCCCACACCCAAGTTACTCACAGCATGGTAGGCGTACGCTCGCTGCCCCTGCCTCTCATAGTGCTTTGCTAGAATGGTGAACTCCAGGGGACCCCAGTCAGACTCCTCAAACACATTCCCCAGTGCCCGCTGGTACAGCTGAAATGGGAGAGAACGAAGAGAAGAGTGAGAGAAGAGTAAGAGAGGAGAGATGATGAATGGTGAAATCCAGAGGACACCCCAGTCAGACTCCTCAAACACGTTCCCCAGTGCCCGCTGGTACAGCTGAAATGGGAGAGAACGAAGAGAAGAGTGAGAGAAGAGTAAGAGAGAAGGAGAGATGATGAATGGTGAAATCCAGAGGACACCCCAGTCAGACTCCTCAAACACGTTCCCCAGTGCCCGCTGGTATAGCTGAACAAAGCACAGAGGAGGGAGTGGAGAGACCAGGGGAGAGAAAGAGAAGACTTTTGAGTCGACTCAAAAGTCACCTCGTTACTATGGCACACGACATTTTTTGAGTCGACTCAAAAGTTCCCCAGTGCCCGCTGGTATAGCTGAACAAAGCACAGAGGAGGGAGTGGAGAGACCAGGGGAGAGAAAGAGAAGACTTTTGAGTCGACTCAAAAGTCACCTCGTTACTATGGCACACGCCATTTTTTGAGTCGACTCAAAAGTCACCTCGTTACTATGGCACACGACATTTTTTGAGTCGACTCAAAAGTTCCCCAGTGCCCGCTGGTATAGCTGAACAAAGCACAGAGGAGGGAGTGGAGAGACCAGGGGAGAGAAAGAGAAGCAGCGAAAGAAGCGAGGAGACGTTGAATGGTGAACTTGAGGAGAACCCGTTTGGTCTCCTCAAAGACGTTTCCCGGAGTAAGATGGTACAGCTGAAGAGTTTTGAGACGTCTCAAAACACTTTTATTATCACGTTTCCCAGGATACCCTGGTACAGCTGATGCGGGAAGAAAGGAGAGAGGAGGAGAGAAGGAAGGAGGAAGAGGACAGGAGGACCAGAGAAGAGAACGATGAGAGAAGGTAGGAGGAGTCGCGAGGGATTTTAAACTTATAGTAGCGTTACGAGTGCATGCAAGTGCACGGTAGTGGTAGTATTCATCTTAGTGGTCTGATATGATATGATATGGTAGTATCGATGTAAGATAGAGTAAAAGTTGGGCTCACCTTTGTAGTGTCCACTAGAATTTCTTTTGAGACGTCTCAAAACACTTCTTTCTACATTTCCTCGCCAAAAGCACAGTTTTGAGGCGCCTCAAACTTGCGCTCACCTTGGTAGTGTCCACGTGAAGCGAGGTTGTTTTTGAGACGTCTCAAAAAGGCGCCTCAAACTTGGGCTCACCTTGGTAGTGTCCACTAGGATTTCCGCACCAGAAGCATACCCGCTGTAAGGCGTAGCCACCAGCGGCACGTGCGCTCGAATGCTAGCAAAATGGGGAGAGGGGAGGGGGGAGGGAAGGCGGGGAAGAGGGGTGGGGGAATGAGAGGGTAAGAGAACGTGGGAGATAAACTGTGTCGAGTTGAATAATTAGTACCCGCTGTAAAACTTAGCCACCAGCGGCACGTGCGCTTGAATGCTGGAGAGAGGGGGGACGAGAACGGGGGAAGCCATGTGGATAGAGAGAGCAAAGGGACGAGGGGAGAGGTCGGAAATGACCAGGGCAGGGAGTGGGAGGGACGAGGGGAGGGACGGCGGAAGGACGAAGGCAGGGCTTCGACGTACGCTATATTAGCGTAGGTGTACGCGGCACAGGCAGACGCGATATAAATCCCCGTGTAGAAGCCTAGCCGGCGGAAACGGCGAATCTGCCAGAATGAGCCTCTTGGAGGAACGTCGCTGCCGCTTTGGTGCTGCTGACGTGGCAGCGGGCCAGCGGACATCGAAGTGAAATACAGAAAAATTCCGAAACCGCGTTTAGTGAAATAGTTTTGCTGGAATTAACGTTGCGAGGAGAAAGTTATTAGGCCTGGAGGTACCGAGTGATAGTTTCTTAGGCAGTGGGAGGGAAATACCAAGTAAAAAAAAGCTGGCATACAGAGGGCATCGTTTCAGGTACATGTGTAACACTACTGAATTTTCAACGAGCTGTGGAATCTAATACAGACGATGTGAATGTGTGTGTTTTCTGTAATCACAAATTTCGCTAACGGAATTGTGGAGCGAAACAGCCCGCTCGCTTTTATCGCAGACCTGCGTGGATCACAATTTCCCGCCACATGCCAGTTTGACGGCCTGCGAATCTGCGATCCGACTGAATTGTCTAGCCCACGAAACGAAATGGCCAGTTTCAGCCGAACTCGAAAAGCTAAACCTACGAAACCAGTGTAGATGATGCAAAACCGCTTTGAAGTCTACATCAACTATACCAAACCGTACAATGAACTTCCATGCCACTCCTTGGGAATGCACCAGGGTTCAGCAACCATTGATTCACACCGACCACCTGGGGGATCTCCGGCCGTCAAGTATGATGTAAAACGTTAAGCTAAGCGATCAGGGAGTTTCGCGAAGAACCACACGCGGCAGGTGGGTCCACCAACCAACCATTCTCGAGGACCCCACAAGCACCACTAGACGAACGCCTTTTTTCCAGAAGACCATTCTGAGCCTTTGCAAACCGATCGAGAACTGCTTATACCGTGGAGAAGCTACCAAGGATTGCAACAACTGCCTCATCTAAATGGCCTGCAGCCACACAGTCTCAAGGTCTGATTTCTGCAAGCAATGAGAATGCTGATCTTCGTTCAGGCATTCTAAGAACCACGCTTGAGAGTGTTTGAGACTATTGCCGTCCTGTGTCGTCTAAAGGGTCAAGGCTTCATAGTACGGTATCCATCTAGGCTTATCAAGATTGATACGGATCCGGTGCGTCGGCGCCAATGCATGTCAGCGAGTCGTGTTGTGATCTGACAAGCGTCTAGATATCAATACTCCTGGCCAAGCTACTCAGACTGCAGAAAAGTGGTCCTTTTCTCTCGAGTCACAATGGTGAGGCGTTTTAGTAGTATGAAGGCGGTTCTCTTCCAGTTGTTTTGTATTTTGTTATGAATGTTGTTCTGTTATAACGAATGAATTTTCTCATTTTTCTCATTGGTTCTCAGGCGAAACGCACTCAACTGATCGCGATCTTCCTTCTGTTCCTATTGGCCACGACCTCTACAATGGTCAGCGCCAAGAAGAAAACGTCAAAGGTTGCAGAAGATTCCCCCGCTGCAGAGGTTGCAGAAGATTCTCCCGCTGCAGAGGATGCAGCAGCTACGGAAGAAAAAACGCCAGTCGCTGCAGATGCAGCAGAATCCGCCGGTGACGGGGAATCGGCGGCGGAAGCTAAGGCTTCCGCCGATGAAGGGGAAAAGGCGGAAGGCGAAGAGGCGAAATCAGCTCCCGCAGCAGAGGAAGCGGCGAAGGACGAGAACGAGGGAGAGGTGGAGGATACCACCGGAGCTGACGCTGCTGCTGCTGGGGATGGGGAGGACCCCCCTCCGGGAAGTCAGCTGGAGCAAGATATCATCAAGGCGGAGAAGAAAGCGGGAGACATCTTCCCTGCTGGTACGGACAAAATTATAAAATTTAATGGCGACGTTATGATGATGTAAAATTTCTTGATTAGATCCGAGTGACACAAAGCCTGCAGACGATTCGTGAATGGGGCTTGTGCCTTGCTCTCGCTGACGTTGGTCCGATCGTTAACCCCGACGGCTTCACTTGAGTCAATTCGATCGTTTCGCGTTCTCCAACAGTGGTCACCAGATCGTAGAATCTTGACGGACCAATCTGAATGAACTCGTCGTTTCCGCTTCACGTTAGCCTCCCGGTTCCGCGCTTAACGCACTCCCATCTTGTCTCAGTCCTGTCCGATTATTACGTTCCAAGCATTTGATCTGTCACAGGAGCGTGCACAGCGCAATGCTTACCCAGGCCAAGCAGTGGATAAGGCTTGAGCGAATGTATGCGTGCAGTGCAGGGGTGTGCAAGGCGGGGATCAAGCCAAGGGCGTGGACCTGATCAACAGGTGTTGAGGCGGGTGTTGATGCATCTCAATATGAGCTGGGTGTGTGACTTCATCGAATGTGTGTGCTGTGCTGTGTCTGCGGCGCCTGATTGATTGAGTGTGTGCGTGCAGGGACGTGAGCAGCAGGTGTTAAGGCGCTTCGATACAAGCTGGGTGTGTTTCATTCAAATTTACCGTGACTGCTGTGCGTGATTGCGTGTGTGCGTGCAGGAGCGTGCAAGAAGGAAATCAAGTCGTTCTGCGAGGGCGTGGACGTGGGCAACAGGAGTCTGGAGCGCTGCCTCTCTGACAGCTTCAAGCTCACCAAGGCTGCTGACGGTGAGAAGAGAAACCGCTGACGGTTATCAGTCAGGCGCTGACGGTGAGCATTCAGGGCCGTCGAGTTAGCAGTCAGGACGCTGACAGTTAGATTTCAGGCCGCTGACGGTGAGCGAGCAGGGCGCAGCTGACGGTCAGCAGTGAAGCTGCTGACGGTGAGCAGTCAGGTCTCTGACAGTTAGCACTCTCTGATGGCAAGGATAGTGACGACGAGGCCACTGACGAAAAGTTTAACTAATGTACGTTTTTCAAACAGGAGCTATCCATTAGAAGGAACTGGAATGTCCCATGGGAGAACCGTTTCCCCTTGCCCTGTTCCCCTTGGCCCACATCACAATCCCACAGCTGCTTTTGCTGAAGAGAAGTTACGCAGCAAAGTTCTTTGGGCGGTTCAAGGTTAACCCGTTTTCATTTTCCCATTTCCCCTTTAACCTTTCCCTGGGCCTGCACGCACATCATCCCTCAGCTGCTTCAGCGGACAAGATATTGGATACGACATGCCTTGTGGCGGTTCAGATTTGAACCTTATTTCTTACCCCGGTTCCCTTCTCACTGGCCCCTTACCTCTTTTCCCTTCCCGCTGGCCTTGCCTCCACGCTACCCCTCAGCTGCTTCGGCCGATAAGAAGTTTGGCAAGAAGTGCCTCAAGGCCATCCGACGGTTCAAGATCGAGGTGTACAAGGACATTTCGATTGACAAGGAGATGAGTAAGTGCTGTGAATGAAGAACATGGCTGTTGAGGCACCTCAAAAGTGCCTCAAGGCCATCCGACGGTTTAAGATTGAGGTGTACAAGGACACCTCAATTGATAAGGAAATGAGTGAGTGACACGCACATGATATTGCGAAGAAATAAATTGTGGATACGAGATTAACGTGATTCAAAACCTCAGTGGTGTTAGCAGCCTGACTGCTGTAAGGAGGATGAAGATGTAAACAAAGTTGGAGGATTTGTACCCTTTACTGCACCCTTGGTTGGAGAAATTAGGGGTTCAAGAGAGTACTACTCTTAAACAAACTGTTAGTGATACTGTGGCTGCATACGTTTTCACCCTAAATTCTCTTTTCTTCTAGCAGTGATGTCCTGCTGGTGCTGACACACGTTTCTCCCTAAAGCTCGTTTGCGATTCTCTGTCTGCCCGTGTCATGTGTGTTCTCTTTTGTGGATGGGGGGTGGGGAGGGATGTGTGTGTGTGTGTGTGTGTGTGTGTGTGTGTGTGTGTGTGTGTGTGTGTGTGTGTGCGTGCGTGTGTCTGTGTCTGTGTGTGTGTCTCTCTGTGTGTGTTCACGTATATGGGGGCAAACGCGGGTCTCTGCAGTGGAGGTGTGCAAGGACGACATCTCATCGCTCTGTGATGATGACTTCCTCTACCCCGAAGTCGGCAGTGTCCTCGCCTGTCTCAGGTGCGTGCCTTAGGTGCCAGTCCCTCCCCTCTCAAAATCCCTCTCAAATCCTCTCTCAAGGACGACATCTCATCGCTCTGTGACGATGACTTTCTCTACCCCGAGGTCGGCAGCGTCCTCGCTTGCCTCAGGTATGCCTCTTTTAGCCCCACATGCCCCCCTCTCCTCCCACTTACTACGCCCCTCTTATCCTCATCCGCTCTGTGACGACGACTTTCTCTACCCCGAGGTTGGCAGCGTCCTCGCTTGCCTCAGGTGCGTGCCAACCACCACCTCCCTCCCCTCTCAACCTCCTCTCAAACCCCTTCCCAAAGTCACGCCCGTGTTAGGAAATGGGGGGGCATTGCAATGCAATGGAGGTGCGCAGGAATAGCATCTCCCTCGTTCTGTGACAATGACTTCTCATCTCTCAGCTGAAGCCATTCCCCCCTCTCCCAACCCTCCCCCCCCCCCTCTCCCCTTCCCCCTCACCCCCCTGCATCAGCTCCCCTCAACCTCCCCACAAACCCCCGAACCCTCCCCCTTACACTTGTTCCTACCTTGGAGGCGAAATCAGGAGGCAAGATATCGGAGGCGTGTGGGCAGAAGGTGTTTGAGGCGCAGCAGGACGCGGCCAACGACTTTGCCTTGGATCCCCAGCTGAAGCCATTTCACTCGTTGCCGAACCCCCACCCCCCCTCACACTCGTTGCTACCAGGGAGGCCAAGTCGGGTGGCAAGATATCGGAGGCGTGTGGGCAGAAGGTGTTTGAGGCGCAGCAGGACGCGGCCAACGACTTTGTCTTGGATCCCCAGCTGAACGAGACGTGCTCTGGGGACGTGCAGCGGCTGTGCGCTGATGTGCCGACCGGGGAGGGGCGCGTGCAGGACTGTCTGGTGGGTGCTGTGTGTGGGGATGAAGGGGTAAGAAGGTTGGGGTTTCGGGGGTGTTGTGCGGTTGAATGTGAGCGACCTTGCTCTGGATCCTCAGCCGAACGAGACGTGCTCTGGGGGCGTCCAGCAGCTGTGCACGGACGAAAGCACTGGGGAAGGGCGGGTGTGGGACTGCCTGGTGGGTTGGATTTGCGTGTGTGTGTGTGATTGTATGTGGGAAAATGGGAAAGGAGGGGAGGGGGGTTTGAGTTCGGTTGGGGGTTGTTGCGCGGCTACAGTGCGAGCGACTCTGTGCTGGTTGTTCCAACTTCCCTCGTTCCGTCCGTCCTTCCGCCCTTTCCTTCCGTTGTGTATGTGTCTCCACCAGAGGGACCACAGGAACAGCCTCAACTGGGAGTGTCTGGCGGAGCTGTTCCGGCAGGAGATAGAGAGCTCAGAGGACATTCGCCTCAACACTCGCCTCTTCAAAGGTGAGCGTCAGTGCACATACATACATGTACTTCTCAAATCGCGGTTTGGCATATAGATCCAGTTCCCCCCTCCCTCTCCTCATTTTCCTTCCTCCCCTCCTTCCCACCCCCCCCCCCCCCCCCCCCCCCCCCCCCCCCCCCCCCCCCCCGCCTTTCCTTCCTCGTCCGCTTCTCTCCCCTTCCTTCCCCTCCTCTTTCTCACATCAACCTCTCCCATACTGCTCGGAGGAAAAGCACCGTGTTTGCTCCAAAAACTGTTGAGACGTCTCAGAAACTGCCGGTGGGAAAAGCACCGGTTTTGCCCCAATGTGCTGCAAAGCGATGCTTGATCGGTTCTTCTCTCTTCTCTTCCCATCCTGTTATCTGTTCTCCTCTCCTCTCTCTGCCCCGCCCTCTTCCCAGCCTGCCTGGAGGACAAGCGCCGATTCTGCCCCGACGTGCTGCCAGGGGATGCGCGAGTGAAGGACTGCCTGGAGTCGCATCTGCACGACTCTGACTTCTCCAAGACCTGGTGAGTGGAAGATATTGGGGAGGTGGGGAGACAGGGTACGGGGTTGGGGGTTTAGGAATGATGAGTGAGAGGGACGACAGGAATGAGTGAGACAAGCTGGGAGGGGGGGGGGTGACGGCAGGCAAGGTGAAGGTCTGCTTGGAGTCGCACCTGTTGGACACTGACTTCTCAAGTGCGTTGAGGTGTATGTTGAGGCGCCTCAAAATACTTGCTGTTAAACACTGACTTCTCAAGTCATGGGGTGAGGGGAGGAAGGTGTGAGGGGCGGAGAAGAGGGGGGGGGGGGGGGGGGGGGTGGGTCAGATTCTCCCTCCACCCTGCGCAGAAAGGTGGAAATCGAGTGCATCATGGAGCACAGGGCAGCACTCAGAGGTTGCGTACCCTCTTTGGTAGACGCCAACACACTAACATTCGTAGGACGGAAATATGTTGCATCGTATGTTTTTTGAGAATTCTCAAAAAACATATGCTCCCTCCACCCCGCGCAGAAAGGTGGAAATCGAGTGCATCATGGAGCACACCCCATGGTGCATCATGGAGCACAGGGCAGCACTCACGTCGCCTTTTCCCCCCTCCTCCCCCCTCCCTTTTTCCTTCTCCTTTCAACCCCTCCTTCCCCCCTTTCACTTCAGCAAGGGGGAGTTTGAGCACATGATGGAGCGCAGGGCGTCCCACTTCTGCCTGGACGTCAAGTCTCGTTGACCCCAATCCCCACCTCCCTATTCTCCCCTCCCCCCCCTCCCCTCTCCCCCCCCCCTTCCTCACCCCCTTTTCCCCCACACGCAGCAAGGTGAAGTTTGAGCACATGATGGAGCGCAGGGCTGCAGGGTGTTTTTGAGAATTCTCAGAAGCTGCTGGGTGTTTTTGAGAATTCTCAAAAACACTCGTGTTGCCACTGTCTTCTTCCCCGCCACTTCCCTTCATCTCCTCGCCTCACTTCCCCCCTCTTGCCCCCCACGCAGCAAGGTGGAGTTTGAGCACATGATGGAGCGCAGGGAAACACTCATGCTGCCACTCTCTTATTCCCCGCCACTTTCCCTCATCTCCTCGCCTCACTTCCCCCCTCTCGCCCCCCCACGCAGCAAGGTGGAGTTTGAGCACATGATGGAGCGCAGGGCGTCGGACTTCCGTCTGGACTTCAACCTGCGCAAGTACTGCGCTGAGGATATCAGCACGGTGAGTGGGTGGAAGCAGCAGTGTGAGTGAGTGGCTGGTAGCAGCACGGTGAGTGGCTGGTAGCAGCACAGTGACGGTAGTGTGAGTTGGGGCAGGATAGAAGCAAGCAAGGGCGTCTGACTTCCTCCTGGACTTCAACCTGCGCAAGTAATGCGCTGAGGATATCAGCACGGTGAATCTCGTCTAGAGTGTGGGCAGGACTAAGAGTGCGTGGGAGAAACCCAGTGAGTGGGTGGGACTTTGATTGTGGCAGTGTGGTGTGATACTAATGTGAAACGGGCAGGGTAGAAGCATGGGCGTCTGACTTCCGCCACCTATTCTAGCTGCCCCTCCCTCCACTCTCCTCTTCCCTTTCCCTGTAATGCACAACCCCCAGACGTGCTACCAAGATGCAGAAGATGTAGTGGACGTGGCCAACAGGGATGCCAAGGTGATCGAGTGCCTGCAGGACTACCGTCTTTGCTCATAGCCCCTTCCCGCCCATCACTCCCATCCACACCGCCGTTTCTCTACCCCACAGACGTGCTATCAAGACCCGGAGGATGTAGTCGATGTAGCAAACCGCGATGCCAAGGTGATCGAGTGCCTGCAGGGCTACTGCGGGGAGCTTACCCCCCTCCCCTCACTCCCCTCTTCCCCTTCACCACGTTGCTCATCTCCCCAGACGTGCTACCAAGACGCAGAGGATGCTGTGGATGTGGCCAACAGGGACGTCAAGGTGATCGAGTGCCTGCAGGACTACCGGGGGGGGGGGGGTACAAGGACCCGCGATGCCCACACGACTACCGTACCCTCTTCTTACAGCCTTTTCCCTACCTTTCCCATTACCCTTTTCCTGGATTGCCAGACGTGCTACCAAGATGCAGAGGATGTGGTGGATGCAGCCAACAGGGATGCCAAGGTGATCGCGTGCCTGCAGGACTGTCCCTATCTCCACCCCCAACCGACTCCCAACCCCAACCCCACTCGCTCCTTCCCCCCTTCCCACACACTCCCAACCCCCAGACGTGCTACCAAGATGCAGAGGATGTGGTGGATGCAGCCAACAGGGATGCCAAGGTGATCGCGTGCCTGCAGGACTGTCCCTATCTCCACCCCCAACCGACTCCCAACCCCAACCCCACTCGCTCCTTCCCCCCTTCCCACACACTCCCAACCCCCAGACGTGCTACCAAGATGCAGAGGATGTGGTGGATGTAGGAAATCGCGATGCCAAGGTGATCGAGTGCCTGCAGGACTACCGGGGGGAGCTCACCTCACCCCCCTCTCCCCACTCCCCTCTTCCCCTTCCCCTTCCCCACGTTGCTCATCTCCCCAGACGTGCTACCAAGACGCAGAGGATGTGGTGGACGTGGCCAACAGAGACGCCAAGGTGATCGAGTGCCTGCAGGACTACCGGGGGGAGCTCAAGGACCCGCGGTGCCGGCAGCAGGTGCACCAGCTGACTAAGAGAGCATCAGAAGACATTCGCTTCAACAGGCCTCTTGCCCAGGCGTGCAAGGGTGAGTGTCTGTGCGCACCCATGCATCTGTATCTGTGTCACCTGTGTGTGGGGCGAGCTGCCATGAGCTCAAGGACCCGCGGTGCCGGCAGCAGGTGCACCAGCTCACTAAGAGGGCTTTGGAGGATATCCGGTTTAGCCGCCCTCTGGCCCAGGCATGCAAGGGTGAGTAGCTGAGTGCGTGCATGTGATGGCTTGTTGTACCTTTGCGCCTTTGCTCCATGGGGCGAGCTCAAGGACCCGCTGTGCCGGCAGCAGGTGCACCAGCTAACCAAGGCGGGCTTCTGAGGATATCCGCTTCAACAGGCCGCTGGCACAGGCGTGCAAGGGTGAGTGTGCATGCGCGCGAATCACATGCATCTCGGTGTGTGTCTCGTGGGATGGCCTGTGGGGCGAGCCATGAGCTCAAGGACCCGCGGTGCCGACAGCAGGTGCACCAGCTGACTAAGAGAGCATCAGAGGATATCCGGTTCAACCGGCCCCTCGCCCAGGCATGCAAGGGTGAGTGTCTGGGCGGGCACACAAGCATGCATGCGTGCATGCATCTCTATGTGTGTCCCATCCCATGGGCCGCGGGATCTGAGAGCTCAAGGACCTGCGATGTCGGCAGCACGTGCATCAACTCACCAAGAGGGCGTCGAAGGATATTCGTTTCAATTTCCCCCTGGCCCAGGCATGCAAGCGTGAGTGAAATCGTGAACATGTGACTGTGCACATGGGGGTGTGCACGTGTGGCCATGAGCTCAAGGACCCATGGTGCCGACAGCAGGTGCACCAGCTGACCAAGAGGGCATCAGAGGATATCTGGTTCAACCACCCCCTCACCCAGGCTTGTCAGTGTGAGTGGTTATGTGTACATGTGCAAGGGTGAATGTGCCTGTGCATGTGCATTTGCTTGTGGCAGTAAAAACTCATAACCCCCTTACTCCCCCTCCCGCTTGCTCATTTGCCCCCTCTGCAGACGACTCCGCCAAGCTGTGCAAGGACGTGCCGCCCGGCCATGCGCGCGTGCTGCTGTGCCTGCAGGAGCACCGGAAGGGCCTCACAGCCAACTGCAAGGAGGCGCTCTTCCAGGAGGTGAGGCTTGGAGCACTGGGAGGGTTCATTTGAAACAGGCAGGCAGGCAGAGCAGACAGACAGGCATGGAAATAACAATGCAGGAGCACCGGAAGGGCCTCACAGCCAACTGCAAGGAGGCTCTCTTCCAGGAGGTGAGCCTCTTTTGGAAGGCAAGGCTAGGAGCATTGAAGTAGGAACGCAGGAGCACCGGAAAGGTCTCAGAGCCAACTGCAAGGAGGCGCTCTTCCAGGAGGTGAGAGGTCAAGCAGTGACTAGCGTGCTGGCAGGTGTACGTACGGTCAGGTATGCGGGCGGTCAGGTATGCGGGCGGTCAGGTATGCGGGCGGTCAGGTATGCAGTCAGCTTCACTCAAGTAGGAAGAGACCTAACAGCTTCAATCGGACCTGGGCACATCTGTATAAGCTAAGCCAATAAGTTCCCCCTTTGCAATGAAAACACAAGACACCAAATCCCAGTACCTCACTTGCAGATTACGTGAGGACTCTTCCCTGTTAGGTCTCTTCCTCACCAATACTGAGAGCGCTGAATTGACGCCTTTCTGTGATATCAATGCCTTCCTCCCTCCTTCTCACCTCCCTCCCCTTCCATCATCTCTGCAGGAGGTGCGGTTTGCAGAGGACATAGACTTCAAGTTCCCCCTCAGGCAGGCGTGCACCGACGAGATGAAGATTCTGTGCAAAGGTGAGGCTGCCTTGTAACGAGTATGCTGTGCGTACTGCCCCTTGTGCCCCTCCTGCTTCTCCTGCCCTCCTGTCCCTCCTGCCCCTCCTGTCCCTCCCGCCCCTCTGTGTCTATGTCTCTGTCTCTGTGCATGCGTGCGTGCGTGCATGTGTGCGTGCGTGCGTGCGTGCATGCGTGCGTGCGTGCGTGCGTGCGTGCATGCGTGCGTGCGTGCGTGCGTGCATGCGTGCGTGCGTGCATGCGTGCGTGCGTGCATGTGTGTGTGTGTGGAATGAACGTTGGCCTTACCTTCACAATGGCTCACATTTGTGTGTTGAACCTGCATTTTCCCCTTCATACATTTGTGTTCATGCCCGCAGACCAGCCGGACGTGGTCAAGTGTCTGCAAGACAAGGTGGAGGACGCGGCCATGTGATTCACTCTCACTGTCCTTCCCTCCCTCCCTGTCCCTTCCTCTCCGTGTGTCTGCACTAACCACCGCCCACAGACCAGCCGGACGTGATCAAGTGTCTGCAAGACAAGGTGGAGGACGCGGACATGGGCGTATTGTGCAAGGAGGAGGTGAAGAAGGATATGAAGCGCGCAGCAGAGGGTGAGTGGGCTCCAGGCGTTTCAATGGGGCTAGCGGGGTACAGCGGGAAGGGGAAGGCTCGACCCTAGCATGTTGGGGACGCAGACATGGGCGTATTGTGCAAGGAGGAGGCGAAGAAGGATATGAAGCGCGCAGCAGAGGGTGAGTGGGCTCTAGGCGTTTCAATGGGGCTAGCGGGGTACAGCGGGAAGGGGAAGGCTCGACCCTAGCATGTTGGGGAGGGACGCAGACATGGGCTTAATTTGCAGGGAGGAGGCGAAGAGTGATATGAAGCGCGCAGCAGAGAGTGAGTATGTGCGCTTTAGGCAGTTAAGTAGGGGCAGAGGGGTAGGAAGGAGCCGATCAGGGAGTGATTTATTGACAAGGAGTGTTTTGAGACGTCTCAAAACACTCTTTTTTTCACGTGGTTTCTTTAGGCAGTTCAGTAGGGGCAGAGGGGTAGGAAGGAGCCGATCAGGGAGTGATTTATTGACGAGGAGCGGCTGTGCTTGCACTCGTGCAATACTGCTCTGGAGTGCAGTGGAAACGAGACCGGGGTGACATACTCACCTACCCTCCTGCCCCTCCATCCCAACAGATTATCGTCTCAACTTCCGGCTGAACAAGGAGTGCTTTGTCAACGTCGCGCGTCTGTGCCTTCGCTTGTGCGATGCTGGGCCTAGCCTTCTGCTGGGCCTACCCTTCTGCTGGGCCTACCCTTCTGCTGGGCCTACCCTTCTGCTGAGTTGACTTTTGAGTCGACTCAAAAGTCCTTAGCTTGTGCGATGCGATGCTGGGCCTAGCCTTCTGCTCAGTGCTCACCCACCCATCTTCCCGGTTACCCACCCCCACACCCCCCCAACAGACTATCGTCTCAACTTCCGGCTGAACAAGGAGTGCTTCGTTGATGTCGAGCGTCTGTGCCTGCACTCGTGCGACGCTGCCTTGGAAACTGGCGGCACGGAGACCGGGGTGACGTGTGGGGGGGCGACTCTCAAGTGCCTGACAGAGAACGAGAGGAAACTGTCTTCTAAAACGTGCCGGCAGGAGCTGTTTTACTTCAAGAAAAGGATGGTCGCTGATATCTCGCTCGATATCCCCTTGCAGGTAAGAGGGGAGGGGGGAGAGGGAGAGTAACAATGGGCACAACAAGGGGTGCAGTGCGGTGGTATGGGGTTGCCGGCAGGAGCTGTTCTACTTCAAGAAGCGCATGGTTGCTGACAGCTCGCTCGATATCCCCCTGCAGGTAAGGACGAGGGTGAGGGAGGGGGGATGGGTGGGCGTGCCTCTGCATGTAAAGACAGAATGTGTTTTCTAAGGGAGGCTATCCCAGATGGCATGCAAGAGTGACCTGGAGAAGAAGTGCTGCGGCGAGAGGGACCACTCCAAGGCGGAAGGAGAGGGTGTTTGATGGCAACTCGCTGATGCACGACCTGCCTACTTCCGAGTTGACTTTTGAGTCGACTGTCAACTCCCTTTTGAGTTGACTCAAAAGTCAACTCCCTTTTGAGTTGACTCAAAAGTCAACTCCCTTTTGAGTTGACTCAAAAGGGTGTTTGATGGCAACTCGCTGATGCACGAACTGCCTACTTCCCTTCCCCTGTCGTATTCCTGTTCCTTCCCCTCTCTCAGCTGGCGTGCAAGAATGATGTGGAGAAGAAGTGTGGCGGCGAGAGGGACCACTCCAAGGCGCTGGCGTGCCTGCGGGCCAAGAGGGACGAACTGACAGAGGAGTGCAAGGAGGAGGAGCTGCGGTTGAGTGAGATGGAGGTGGGTGGTGACGGGCAGGGGAGGTGGGAGAAGAATGGGCAGTGGGTGTGTGAGTGTAGTGGGGGAAAAGTTGAGTGGGTTGGGTACTGGATGGGTTATGGGGAAGAGGGACGAGCTGACAGAGGAGTGCAACGAGGAGGGGCTGCGTTTGAGCGAGATGGAGGTGGGTGACGCAGGGAGGTGCGAGATAATAATGGGCTGTGGGCGTGTGAGGGTAGTGGGTGGTGGATAGGTTTGGTGTGTGCGGGGATGGTTGGGGCCAAGAGGGACGAGCTGACAGAGGAGTACAAGGAGGAGGAGCTGCGGTTGAGCGAAATAGAGGTGGGTGTGGGATGGTGATGCTGGGGAGGTGGGACAAGTGCAGGCAGTAGGTGTTGTGAGTAAACAAGAAGGTGGTCCCCCCACCTTCTTGCTTACTGCCCGCTCAAGCCTCAGACATCCGCCTCACCCCCACGCTCATGAATGCGTGTGGCTTGGAGCTCAACCATTTCTGCCTCCTCACCTATCCCAACCACCTCCCCCGTTTGGCACCCCTTTCTTGCTTACTGCCCTCACAGGCGTCTGACATGCGTCTGACCCCCACGCTCATGAACGCGTGTGGCCTGGAGCTCAACCACTTCTGCCTTCTTCTCACCTCCTTCTGTCCTGCTCACTGTTCCTTTTCCCCCCTTATCAGGCGTCTGACATCCGTCTCACCCCCACGCTCATGAACGCGTGTGGCCTGGAGCTCAACCATTTCTGCCGCGGCGTGCACCCCACGACTGGGCTGGCCTTCCGCTGCCTGCAGATGAGCATCAACGAGGTGAGAAAGAGAATGCTACAGTGTAATGTAACGGTGTTACAAGCAGAGAGGTGAGCTTGATGCAGTGCGGTTGGGGTGACAGTGGAACAAGCATGTACAGCCCACGGCTGGGCTGGCCTTGCGGTGCCTGCAGATGAGCATCGGCGAGGTGCGGGTGGTGGGGTGCTACAAATGGTTCTACAGGGTAAACGGGTATTGGAAAGGGTGTGGTTGGTGTCAAAACGTAAGCCCACGGCTGGGCTGGCCTTCCGGTGCCTGCAGATGAGCATCAACGAGGTGCGGGTGGTGGGTTGGTGTTCTTACAGGGTAATGGGGTAGCAAGATATCCTTGTGCAGTGCGGTTGAAAGTGACGGTGTGGCCCTGGCAAACCCCCCGCCCCCCTTCTCTCCCATCCCCCCCCCACCAAGGCAGAAGTCGACCTCCAAACCTTCCGCCACGCCTCTTACTACAAGCTGGACTCGGGGCGCTGCCAGAGCAGTGCGAGGGGACTCCCCTTCCCCTTCTTCTTGTCAACCCCACTCTTCTCCTCTACCCCTCCCCACCACCTCACCAGGTGGGCATGTCAGTGGCGTGCAAGGCAGAGGTGGACCTCCAGACGTTCCGCCACGCGTCTTACTACAAGCTGGATTCCGCCCTGGCAGAGCAGTGCGAGGGGGATGTGGACTCCTTTTGCAAGGGCGTGGACGAGGGCAAGGAGGCGCACTCCCTCGTGCTGCAGTGCCTCGTGCAGCACCAGGAAAACCTCTCTGGAAAATGCCTGACTGAAACCGCCTACGCCGTGCGAATGGCTCTTTGGATGTATCATAAGGATGCGGATCTGGTCAAGCCGTGCAACCCTGTGGTGGAGGAGCTTTGCGGGAATCGGACGGGGGTGGTTGCGGGGGAGGGAGCGGGGAAGGCGGGGGCGGCGGCGGCGGTGGGGGTGGTGGGGCAGTGTTTGCTGGAGCAGCCGAAGGAGAAGCTTGGGGAGGAGTGTGGGCGGCTGGTGGGGCTGATTGGGCAGCCGGGCGGGCATGTGGGCGGGGTGATTGACACGAGCCAGCTGGAAGAGACTCTTGCACAACTCGCACAGGTACAGGTGGGTGCAAAGCGGTGGGGGGAAGGAGAGGTACAGGCTTGTGCAGAGCGGTGGGGTGGGGAATGGAGAGGCTGAGGTAGGTACAGTTGGGTGCCATCCTAGAGGAGGGAGAAATGTTTAGATTCATGAAAGAGTTCCATTTCTCTCCATTTTTTGTTTCTCTCCTAGGATTTTTTTTTTTTTTTTTTTTTTTTTTTTTTTTTTTTTTTTTTTTTTTTTTTTTTTTTTTTTTTTTTTTTTTTCAAGAGAATGCGCATCATGGATTACTATGCACTTCCACTCTCTTCCCCCTCTTCCCCTGCCCTTCTCAGTTGAAGCATGAGGTTGACGCAGAGACCGAGGGCGAGGGAGGGGGAGGAGGGAAGCTGGTGCTGACTGGTGCTACAGCCTTTGCGGCGGTTACCGCACTCACTGCGGTGCTGCTGGGTGCTGCTTACCTGGTGTATCGCAAGTGCTTCGACCCCACCAGGAACTACACACTCATGGTCAAGGCTGGAGATGTTTGAAACGGTGATGCTTATAAGGAGGACGTTTTTGTATGGAGAGGTGACAGGTGGATCAAATCCTAGTTAAAACTTAGGAATGCGTATGCTGGGTTGGATTGACTGCTGCCAAAGCGTAGCAATTAGAGTTATGGCAGCACAAACGCCACGGAGAGTGATACAAGTGGATAGAAGATGCAAAAGCTTTCGTATTGCCTCTTGCATATGCATGCGAAGTAGCATGAGCAGCTGTCATGTCATGTAATGTCATGTAACACCCTGTAGATTTTTAACCCATTTGACCTGGACCTGGATGTTTTGAAGAGGTAATATACTGGTAGCAATAATTTGTGTTGGCAGCTTGTGGCTAAGCTGAAAATGGCAAGGTTTCATCTGTCAGTGGGAATGTCTTGTACCTGAGTCAGAGATTGAGAAGGGGAAGCAAATTGAGAAAGGCGAGCATGCGGTATTTGACAAGCTTGCACTGGAGTGTGCCACTGAGCCTCCATATTGGCACACACTGTTGTGTGTGAGCCTCCATATTGGCACACACTGTTGTGTGTGAGCCTCCATATTGGCACACACTGTTGTGTGTGAGCCTCCATATTGGCACACACTGTTGTGTGTGAGCCTCCATATTGGCACACACTGTTGTGTGTGAGCCTCCAAATTGGCACACACTGTTGTGTGTGAGCCTCCATATTGGCACACACTGTTGTGTGTGAGCCTCCATATTGGCACACACTGTTGTGTGTGAGCCTCCATATTGGCACAAACTGTTGTGTGTGAGCCTCCATATTGGCACACACTGTTGTGTGTGAGCCTCCATATTGGCACACACTGTTGTGTGTGAGACTCCATATTGGCACACACTGTTGTGTGTGAGCCTCCATATTGGCACACACTGTTGTGTGTGAGCCTCCATATTGTCACACACTGTTGTGTGTGAGCCTCCATATTGGCACACACTGTTTTATGGTATGTGTGAGCCTCCAGATGGGCAATTTGGCACGCACTGCTGTGTGTGGGGCTCCATATAGGCACACACTGTTATGGCATGTGTGAGCCTCCAGATCGGCAATTTGGCACGCACTGCTGTGTGTGGGGATACAGATTGGCACGCACTGCTGTGTGTGGGCCTGCTGTGTGACAGACCTGACGTTATTTTCATTTTGGACCATCTCCCCACTCTCCCTTTTTCCTTCCGCCAGGGAAAGTCAAGGCCCTGAAACGGCTCTTTGAAACAGGGGAGTCACATCAGAGAGAATAATGTAGAGGAATCAAACCAGGGGAACCAAACAATGGAAAACACATCAGGGACTCTTGAGTCTGAGTCGTCATCCAAGTGCTTTCCCACCCCCTCAGTCAACCAGAAAAACCACTAGCTAGTGTCATTTCCCTTCATGACACTAGCTCTTTAAACTAGGTGCGTCAAACCGAGGGAAATGAATCGGGAGACAAAGCAGGGGGGGTAAACCAGGAGAGTCAAGCATTAGAAAGACCGCGCAGGTATTTCTAACAAAAATGCGAAACGCGATCGGATGGCCATGTGGATAAAACGAGATGGGATGGCCTCTGGCCGGTGCTGTTCCGAGCAGGAAGAATGGAAGGGGAAAGCTCGCTCACTCACAGACGTCAGTCACACAAGCGTCGCTGACTAACGAGCATGGGTCGCTCCTCGAAGTGGCACGTAGAGCACACTACATGCCTCAGTATACAGTCATGCGGAGTAGAGATGACACTCCTAACAGCCGGTTGATCGTTACCACGTTTTGTAAGGCGATGGCCATTTCGCGAGGCTGTTGAGGTTGAGGCGCCTCAGATGGCTATTCTACAAAACACGAGTAGAGCTGATACTTCTAACAGCCGGTTGATCGTGACCACGTTTTGCAAGGCGATGGCCATTTCGTAAGCCGTCTCAAAATCGAAAGCGGTGGAACGACCAGAATCGCATGGTTTAACATTTGCTCGATAGGTACGTTGCTGCGCCTGCTGGGAAGGCTTGAACACAATCCGTCGCAGATTTCGAGCATAATCGGTTCTTAGTCGTCGTATACCGATACTCTAGGTGCATAATTGCCCCTTAGAAGGGTCTCGCTTTAATCTCCTGCGCGGGCTTCCGCCAGCAGTGTCACCCTTCACTGCTCAGAGTTGTTTGGCTAAGAAACGAGACGCGCACTGCAAATAACTGGAACTAGGAACTTCAGTAGAAACTCTGTCAAAGGCGGGTGGAGGGAGGGGCGCTTGCGTGGCAAGGTTGAGGCAGGGCCGAAAGGACGCTCGTAAAAATAAACGCTTCCGAATCTGCCACGTAGGCAGAAAGCTAGTTTTCATCCCACGAAGTGAACATTTACGGAAGCCGAGGCTGGAATAAACTTTGCAAACTGCAATGGGAATTTATCTTTGCGCTTGGGGCAATGACGCAGTTAATGAGGTTTATCCGAGACGCGTCTATTGCTGGTTGAAAACTATTTCCAAACCCCCTCAGCGGCCCGGGAGGGCCACTGAGAATTTCTGGAAAGGCTGATTCGCTCGGCCTACAAAAACAAACTGAAAATGGGATGGTGACATGAATTAGTACCCCAATGTGTGGAAAATGTGTCAATTGCGGGATCGTCGTAGTATGATCTAACATTTTCCCAGGCATTGGATTTGTCTATCCCAAAGTCGAGGGATACCCAATGACGCCCCTGTTTGTAGGGGTATTTGCAAACGCTATCGGCCTGGAGAGTCTGAGTTTCCCTCAGCACGTGAACAGGGGGTCTTGCTGGCAGGTGAACCAGAAACAATATTCAGCTATACAGAAATCCACTCCAAAACAACCACCTATAGCTCCCGGCGGAGAAGACTTCTAGGTCGTTTCACACACAAGTCCTAACCTAGTGATCCTCGTCCCAATGTGCTGCTCTCAAGAATATCATCAGCTGCAGCACCACCATCATCTCCTGTCAATCCCACACCTTCCACCAACTCGTATCCAGACGAAAGACTTCTGCTCGACGGCGAAAACATCCCCTTGAGCGGCGAACACCCCCTGGATCCGAACCTAGGTGGGGAGGGCTGGCAGGAGCCGGGCCTTAGGGTCGGGGAGGCATGTTGGGAGGTTGGGCGAGAGGAGGGCCGGGAACAGGGTTGGCAGGAGGTTCGGGAGGAAGTTCGGGGCGAGGTCCGGGAGGAGGAATGGGTGGTTTCCTGTGATGGTTGAAGGATGCTGTCTGGTATGGCAGCTGCTGTGCTTGCCACTGCTGCCAATGCAGCTGAACCTGGTGGTATGGCTGGTGATGGTGGTGATGCTGCTGCTGTTGCTGTTGATGATGCTGCTGCTGCTACTGGTGCTGCTAATTTTGCTCTTGCTGCTGCTGCTGCTGCTGCATCTGTCATTGCGGGAGAAGCAGTAGCGGCAGCGGAATTTTCCAGACCAGTGGGGTGAGTGGCAGGTGGTGCAGAAACAGCAGCAGGGGCAGAGGAGGGTGGGGGAGAGGAGAGTAGAGCAGGAGGGTGCGAGGCAGTAACTGGTCCTATATCGTGTTTTAACTCGGCAGATGTAGAGCCTATAGGCACATCTGGAGAGGAAGAAGACTCCTCATCCTCTTTATTCCCATCATTCCCATTATTCTCACCATTCTCATCAATCGCATCGGTCTCGCCATTCGTTTCACCCCCACCACCTCCTCCCCCACCCTCCCCACCCTCCCCAAGTTCAATCCTCGCACCCTCCCCATCCCCCCCATCTTCCCCTCTCTCCCCGATCTCCACCCCCTCCTCCCCCTCCCCATGCAGGGCGTACTGGGCTAGCAGGGCGGCATACGCTGCTTCAAATGCTGATGAGGAACTGCCTATTTCGTCCCTCCCTATCGCATCACTGCGGATAGGCTCACTGCTAACCATCCGACCACCAGCAGCAGCACCAGCAGCAGCACCAGCAGCAGCACCAGCAGCAGCACCAGCAGCAGCACTACCAGCAGCAGCAGTACCAGCAGCAGTAGCAACAGCAGCAGCAGTAACAGCAGCAGCAGCACCAGCAGCAGCAGTGGTGCTAGCAGTGGTACCAATCGTGTCTGAGATGGTAACCGGTGTAACAGTAGCAGAGGCAGCGGCAGCACCTGTGGCAGATGATGAGGAGAGTGAGGAGGTGCCTCCAGGGGGTTTGACTGGTTGGGGCGCTTCCGCTTGAAAGTCGATTTGGGAAGTCGGGATAGGGCCGCAGAGAATTTCCCGGAAGTTGCGCGGAATGCCGAGGTCGTAAGGGTTGTTCTTCCGCTTGTAGCGCATGCGGAAGTTCTCGTACGTGGTCTGGTGAGAGAGGGTGGACGGGGGGGGGGGGGGGGAAGGGGGTATGGCTGGTGGTTGGCGAGTTATACGGTCTGTCAAGTGTGATAAGTCGAGTTTTGAGTCGACTCAAAACTCGAGTAATGCGGTCTGTCAAACATCTTCCGCTTGTAGCGCATGCGGAAGTTCTCGTACGTGGTCTGGTGAGAGAGGGTGGACGGGGGGGGGGGGGGGGGGGGGGAGGGGGGAAAGGGGGTATGGCTGGTGGTTGGCGAGTTATACGGTCTGTCAAGTGTGATAAGTCGAGTTTTGAGTCGACTCAAAACTCAAGTAATGCGGTCTGTCAAACATCTTCCGCTTGTAACGCATGCGGAAGTTCTCGTACGTGGTCTGGTGGGAGGGAAGGGTGGAGGGGGGGGGGGAGGAGGGGGTGGAGGAAGGGACGGTGGGTGGGTGGTGATATAAGAAATCCTTCGTAACTCTTTCACTTGTAGCGCATCTGGAAATTCTCGTACGTGGTCTAACGAGAGAGGGTGGACGGGGAGGGGGGTGAGGGGGCGGAGGGAAGGGAGGGGGCGGAAGTTCTCGTACATGGTCTGGTGGGAGGGAGGGGTGGAGAAAAGGATTGGAGGGAGCGAGTGGTTGGCATGCTATTCAATCTCTTCGAAAACTTCAGCTTGTTGACATTTTAGTCGACTCAAAAGGTGGAGAAAAGGATTGGAGGGAGCGAGTGGTTGGCATGCTATTCAATCTCTTCGAAAACTTTTGCTTGTAACGCATCCGGAAATTCTCGTACGTGGTCTGATGAGAGAGGGTGGAGGGGGAGGGGGGTGAGGGTATGGCGGGTGGTTGGCGAGTTGTGCGGTCTGTCAAACATCTTCCGCTTGTAGCGCCGTTGGTGAGTTATGAGATGTCTCCGCTTGTAGCGCATGCAGAAGTTCTCGTACGTGGTCTGACGAGAGAGGGTGGACGGGGAGGGGGGTGAGGGGGCGGAGGGAAGGGAGGGGGTGGAAGGGGAGGGAAGGGAGGGGGTGGAGGGAAGGGATGGTGGGTGGGTGGTCATAAGCTTGTAGTGCATCCGGAAATTCTCGTATGTGGTCTTGCGAGTGGGGGTGGCGAGGGGGAGGGAGGGGTTGGGAGGGAGGGTTTAGAACGAGCTGATGTTCGGGAGGGAGAGGGGTTGGTGGTGAGTATTGAGACGTCTCAAGAGTCTTCAACTTGTAGTGCATCCGGAAATTCCCATGTGTGGTGTGGTGGGTGGGAGCACATGGAGGGAAGGAGGGGGTGAAGGTTGGGTGTTGAGGGCCGTAAGAAGGTGTGCAACTGAGTCACTCAATACATACCACGAACCACAGGAAGGTTGGTGGCCGCGAGGAAGGTATGAAACGCAGTAAGCCCTCCCACGAACCACACCACTATGAATGTGTACGCCATGAGAATTACTGCGACAGGTGCCTTCCCCATGCAGCAATCCCCACCTAATTGATTCTGAGTCGTCTCAAAGCGCAAATCTCACCTGATTGGTGGCCGTAAGAAACGTGTGAAAGGCCGTAAGCCCCCCCACGAACCACACCACTATGAATGTGTATGCCATCAAAATCACCGCCACAAGCGCCTTCCCCATGCAGCAATCCCACAGCGTTCTGGGCTGCCTTCCTCGCTCATACGCGACCATGCAATGCAACCCAGTCACTCAACGCATACCTGGTTGGTGGCCGTGAGGAATGTATGGAATGCAGTAAGCCCTCCCACGAACCACACCACTATGAATGTGTACACCATCAAAATCACCGCGACAGGCGCCTGCCCCATGGCCTCCCAGAGAGTCCTGGGCTGCCCCCCTGGCTCGTAAGTGTTATTCACGAGTAGCACGAGGAGGAGGGCACTGATGGCGAACACGAACAGGCAGAGGAGGGTTGTTGTGGCGGTGAACATGTAAAAAAACCGGTAGTTGCGCTGGCGGGGGGTGGAGGGACACGATGGGGAGGGATGGGGGGCAGGAAGAACAAGAGGTAGAGGAGGGTTGTTGTGGCGGTAAACATGTAAAAGAACCGGTAGTTGCACTGGCGGGGGGAGGGGGGGGGGGGGGGGGGGGGTGGGAAGAGGGAAGAGGGGGAAGGAGGGGAAGGAGGGAGGGGAGAAGATGAAAAGGCAGAGCAACGTTGTTGTGGCGGTGAACATGTAAAAGAACCGGTAGTTGCGCTGAAAGAGAAGAGGGTGGTGGGGCAAGACAGGGGAGGGAGCAGGGAAAGAGGAGTGAGGGAGGAGAACGGGGGAGTGTGAGAAGAGCGTGCATTCCCCCATGGCCTCCCACAGCGCTCTGGGCTGCCATCCTGGCCCGTAGTTGCGCTGGCAGGGCGGTGGGGGAGAGGGGGGTGGGAAGAGGGGAGATGGGGAAGGAGGGAGGGGGGAAGATGAACAGGCAGAGCAGCGTTTTGGTGGCGGTGAATGTGTAGAAGAAGCGGCAGTTGCGCTGGCGGGAGGGGAGGGAGGAGGGAAAGAAGAAACGAGGGAATAAGGTGAAACGGACTGTGAGGGCAGAGGCCCTCTTTCCCATGGCCTCCCACAGCGTCCTAGGCTGCCTGCCTGGCTCATAGGTGTTAATCACAAGTAGGGCGATGAGGAGCGTGCTGATGGCGAATACAAACAGGCAGAGGAGCGGTGTTGTGGCGGTGAATGTGTAGAAAAACCGGCAGTTGCACTGGGGGGAGGAGAAAAGGAAGGGAGCAAGGAAAGAGGAGTGAGGGAAGGGAGAATGAAAGAATAAGAGAAAACGGCTGGTGAGGGAGCAGAGAGGGCCTTTTCTAGCTTTGAGTCGACTCGAAACTAGGGAAGGGAGAATGAAAGAACAAGAGAAAACGGCTGGTGAGGGAGCAGAGAGGGCCTTTTCTCCATCGCTTGGCTGGGGCTGCTCTGACTCATGTTTCGGTATCCCAGGGGTCACCCTGACTCATGTTTCGGTATCCCAGGGGTCACCCTGACTCATGTTTCGAAGGGCTGCAGTAGCAGAGAAGACGCAACCCAGTCACTCAACGCATACCTGGTTGGCTGGGGCTCAAAAGCAGGCTCTCCCGGCTCGAGAAAACCACCTCAATGCACTTGGCTTTTGAGTCGACTCAAAAGCAGGCTCTCCCGGCTCGAGAAAACCACCTCAATGCACTTGGCTTTTGAGTCGACTCAAAAGCAGGCTCTCCCGGCTCGAGAAAACCACCTCAATGCACTTGGCTTTTGAGTCGACTCAAAAGCAGGCTCTCCCGGCTCGAGAAAACCACCTCAATGCACTTGGCTTTTGAGTCGACTCAAAAGCAGGCTCGAGAAACCGGAAGGGAGAATGAAAGAATAAGAGAAACCGGCTCGAGAAAACCACCTCAATGCACTTGGCTTTTGCACGGGCTTGGGCCGCCCTGCCCTCCCGGCTTGTAGGAGCTATTCACGAGTATGGCGATGAGGAGGGCACTTTTGAGTCGACTCAAAATTCACGAGTATGGCGATGAGGAGGGCACTTTTGAGTCGACTCAAAATTCACGAGTATGGCGATGAGGAGGGCACTTTTGAGTCGACTCAAAATTCACGAGAATGGCGATGAGGAGGGCACTTTTGAGTCGACTCAAAATTCATGAGTATGGCGATGAGGAGGGCACTTTTGAGTCGACTCAAAATTCACGAGTATGGCGATGAGGAGGGCACTTTTGAGTCGACTCAAAATTCACGAGTATGGCGATGAGGAGGGCACTTTTGAATCGACTCAAAATTCAGGAGTATGGCGATGAGGAGGGCACTTTTGAGTCGACTCAAAATTCACGAGTATGGCGATGAGGAGGGCACTTTTGAGTCGACTCAAAATTCACGAGTATGGCGATGAGGGCACTTTTGAGTCGACTCAAAATTCACGAGTATGGCGATGAGGAGGGCACTTTTGAGTCGACTCAGAATTCACGAGTATGGCGATGAGGAGGGCACTTTTGAGTCGACTCAAAATTCACGAGTATGGCGATGAGGAGGGCACTGATGGCGAATACGAAGAGGCAGAGGAGGGTTGTTGTGGTGGCGAACGCGAAAAAGAACCGGTAGTTCCACACCTTGCCTGTGCACTCCCCTTCTCTCTGACCTTGCCTGTGCACTGCCCTTCTCTCTGACCTCGCCTGTGCACTGCCCCACCCACGGGCAGTGGTGGTCGGGTCGTTCCACACAGTTGTTGCTGTACCACACAGTTGTTGTTGTACCACACAGTTGTTGCTGTACCACACAGTTGTTGCTGTACCACAGTTGTTGTTGTACCACACAGTTGTTGTACCACACAGTTAAGTGCCTCAACAGACATCGCAGCACCTTGCCGATGCTCTCCCTCTCCTCACCTTGCCGATGCTCTCCCTCTCCTCACCTTGCCGATGCTCTCCCTCTCCTCACCTTGCCGATGCTCTCCCTCTCCTCACCTTGCCGATGCTCTCCCTCTCCTCACCTTGCCGATGCTCTCCCTCTCCTCACCTTGCCGATGCTCTCCCTCTCCTCACCTTGCCGATGCTCTCCCTCTCCTCACCTTGCCGATGCTCTCCCTCTCCTCACCTTGCCGATGCTCTCCCTCTCCTCACCTTGCCGATGCTCTCCCTCTCCTCACCTTGCCGATGCTCTCCCTCTCCTCACCTTGCCGATGCTCTCCCTCTCCTCACCTTGCCGATGCTCTCCCTCTCCTCACCTTGCCGATGCTCTCCCTCTCCTCACCTTGCCGATGCTCTCCCTCTCCTCACCTTGCCGATGCTCTCCCTCTCCTCACCTTGCCGATGCTCTCCCTCTCCTCACCTTGCCGATGCTCTCCCTCTCCTCACCTTGCCGATGCTCTCCCTCTCCTCACCTTGCCGATGCTCTCCCTCTCCTCACCTTGCCGATGCTCTCCCTCTCCTCACCTTGCCGATGCTCTCCCTCTCCTCACCTTGCCGATGCTCTCCCTCTCCTCACCTTGCCGATGCTCTCCCTCTCCTCACCTTGCCGATGCTCTCCCTCTCCTCACCTTGCCGATGCTCTCCCTCTCCTCACCTTGCCGATGCTCTCCCTCTCCTCACCTTGCCGATGCTCTCCCTCTCCTCACCTTGCCGATGCTCTCCCTCTCCTCACCTTGCCGATGCTCTCCCTCTCCTCACCTTGCCGATGCTCTCCCTCTCCTCACCTTGCCGATGCTCTCTCCTCTCCTCACCTTGCCGATGCTCTCCCTCTCCTCACCTTGCCGATGCTCTCCCTCTCCTCACCTTGCCGATGCTCTCCCTCTCCTCACCTTGCCGATGCTCTCCCTCTCCTCACCTTGCCGATGCTCTCCCTCTCCTCACCTTGCCGATGCTCTCCCTCTCCTCACCTTGCCGATGCTCTCCCTCTCCTCACCTTGCCGATGCTCTCCCTCTCCTCACCTTGCCGATGCTCTCCCTCTCCTCACCTTGCCTATGCTCTCCCTCTCCTCACCTTGCCGATGCTCTCCCTCTCCTCACCTTGCCGATGCTCTCCCTCTCCTCACCTTGCCGATGCTCTCCCTCTCCTCACCTTGCCGATGCTCTCCCTCTCCTCACCTTGCCGATGCTCTCCCTCTCCTCACCTTGCCGATGCTCTCCCTCTCCTCACCTTGCCGATGCTCTCCCTCTCCTCACCTTGCCGATGCTCTCCCTCTCCTCACCTTGCCGATGCTCTCCCTCTCCTCACCTTGCCGATGCTCTCCCTCTCCTCACCTTGCCGATGCTCTCTCTCTCCTCACCTTGCCGATGCTCTCCCTCTCCTCACCTTGCCGATGCTCTCCCTCTCCTCACCTTGCCGATGCTCTCCCTCTCCTCACCTTGCCGATGCTCTCCCTCTCCTCACCTTGCGGATGCTCTCCCTCTCCTCACCTTGCCGATGCTCTCCCTCTCCTCACCTTGCCGATGCTCTCCCTCTCCTCACCTTGCCGATGCTCTCCCTCTCCTCACCTTGCCTATGCTCTCCCTCTCCTCACCTTGCCGATGCTCTCCCTCTCCTCACCTTGCCGATGCTCTCCCTCTCCTCACCTTGCCGATGCTCTCCCTCTCCTCACCTTGCCGATGCTCTCCCTCTCCTCACCTTGCCGATGCTCTCCCTCTCCTCACCTTGCCTATGCATTGCCCCACCCACGGGCAGTGGTGGTCGAATCGTTCCACACAGTTGTTGCACACGCTGCAGTGCGAGCAGCGGGGGGGTCTGCAGGGAAGGGGGGGATTGAGAGGTGGGGGCTAAGGTCAGAGAAACGCAGCGAGAGGGAACACTGTATGCCACGCTCCACACAGTTGACTTTTGAGTCGACTCAAAAGTCACCTCGCTCCACACCGTTGTTGCACACGCTGCAGCGCTAGCAGCGGGGGGGTCTGAGACATGGGGGGACGCGGGGAGGGAGCGGAGAGGAGGGGGGGGAAGGAGAAGCAGACTGGAGCTTATGACTTGAGAACCGCTCCACACAGTTGTTGCACAAGCTGTAGTGCAAGCAGCAGGGGGGTCTGCAAGGACAGGAAAGGTGAGCATCACACCACCCAACTGCAAACCTTATCAAACCTTTCCACACCCACCCACACCCATCGCCCCACCCACCTGTACAGAAGGCACGTGTCGCAGTATTTAACTTTCACTCGAAACCCGTTAATCTCCACGTCTTTAGTTCTCGGCAGACTAAACCTTCCCCCCGTGGCAAGCCCCGCCCCCTCCAGGCGCATAGCTTCTAGCATGTCCGGATCAGGGTCAGGTGGAACGAGATTGCGAGGCACGATGCCTGGATCCCTGCACGCCGTGAATACCAGAATGAAGAGGTTCTGGAGGGAGGGTGAGGAGAGGAATGGCAGGGAGGAAGTGGACGGAGGGTCAGGTGGAACGAGATTGCGAGGCACGTTGCCTGGATCCCTGCACGCTGTGAACACCAGGATGAAGAGGTTCTGGGGAGGATGGGGGGGCGGGGGGTGGAAGGAAGGGAGGGGTGCATATCCGGATATCCGGATCAGGGTCTGGGGGGACGAGGTTGCGAGGCACGATGCCTGGATCCCTGCACGCTGTGAAGACCAGAATGAAGAGGTTCTGAAAGGAAAGGGAGAAGTGGGGGGGATGTGGAAAGGGTGCAGAGGGGTGCGAAAGGGTGCATGTCCGGTTCAGGAACTGATGGGGGGGAGGGGCGAAGACCCACCCACTCATGCGACTCAACCCACCCACCCATGCGACTCGACCCACCACTCATGCGACTCAACCCACCACTCATGCGACTCAACCCACCACTCATGCGACTCAACCCACCCCTCATGCGACTCAATCCACCACTCATGCGACAAAACGCACCCATGCAATGTAACAGATAGCAACTGGAAGCACGACGATGCCTCCAGGAATCTTTCCAGGAAGCTGCGCGGCCACGAAGACGCAGAAGAGTATCCCCGGTATAAGGATGAGCAGGAACGACAGCACCAGCGAGCGGAAATCGGGACCGAATATGAACTGACCGTAGCACAGAAACACCTGGAGAAGTGGGGGGAAAGGAGGGGAGCGGAGAATAGGGAGGGGGGAAACGAGGGGAGGGAGGGAGTGAGGGGTTGGAGGGGGGAGAAAGAGGGGACGGGGAAATAAGAAGGGGTTGGGGGGGGTGGGGGAGGGGAAGTTGCGGAGGTGAAGCGGGGAGTTGGGCTCTTGAGGGAAGGTGGGAAGTTGACCATAGACGACGAGTGGAAGGACGAGGAAGAAGGTGACTATTGAGGCGACTCAGTAACATTCTTCTCGCGCTGAAATGAGATGGAATGCGACGGAGTGCGACGGAATGCGATGCGACGAGAAAACACCGAGTGCGGCAGAAAACACGAAGTACGCGTTATAAGGATCCTCACTATCAGCATATAATGAAATGCGACTCACGTTGTCGCCTTTCCAGGCCTGGTACACCTTCGCCATGCCTGTCCGTCAGATGTCTCTACTTTCTCTAGATCGTACGGCTACAGATTGACGACAAAACGTCGCAAGGATAGTTAACAACCCTTGGATCAACGTCATCCTTGCTTCAAATTACGCGGACTTGTCGATGGCTCATTGTCTTTCCGTTCGAAAAAAAATAACTTATAATACTTGAACACCAGTACCAGTCTAAGTCAGAAACGGATTAATTGTTCGACGACGATGCTGTGTTACCAAGCGAGCGACTTTCAGACGACTCCTGCTGCAAAGCAGTCGAGATCACAAACAACAAGCTGGGTCACCTGGTATCGCCAAGTGTTAGAGCCCAAGCGTTAGGGACCAAAGTGTTAGGGACCAAGTGTTTGGACCACTAGCAAAGGATCGCAGTAGTAATAACCGTAGGACAATTATGACTCCGCCAATCCCCGAGGACTGACCGTTTACTACTTCGGGGATGGTTCCTCAAGGTGACGTGGCACTGCTGTGGGGGTGCTGGGTTGTGTGAGTGAACCTACACGTCGCCCGCCGTCAAGATTCACGAGAGTGTAAGTGATCGTGCGGTCCGAATTGAGTCGCTAGTGCGGCTGGGGTTTTCGTGATCGACGGGTTACGGAGACTCGTGGAGGTGCGATGCACGAGCTGTTGTTTACCAGTACCCGTCATTGCTGAGCTTTTTAAACGAACTCGTCACTACATAGTGTGCAGCATACATACATGGGGACCAGTTTGTTACCGAGTTTTACTTGATAATGTCAACAATAGTAGATATAGAGATTGTGGTGTTTCAATCTATTTATTTTTTATGTTTCTGTCTCATTCGCCCACCCCTATGTCAAGAGAAAGATGATATGCTCTATCTTGCATATGTGAAATCAGCATTACAGTGTGCTGTTGATGTCTTGACAGAAGGAACGGGTTCATGTTCCATTACTGCTGACCAGGGCTGTACTGTACACTTGACGCGACTGACTGTCGCACTCATGTTCAAGATGCCTCATAATTGCTGACGTGGGAATGTTGACGTGGTTTTTCTGTAGAAACAGCGCTTTTGCTTTCTGTTGGGTGACCAATATGTTTCCGTCTGCCCTCATCCCCCAAACTTTGCACAGACAAACGCTAACAGTGTGCAAGAAAGTCTGCAAGACACAAATGTAGTGAGAATTTTCCAGCATTGGAAATCGTATGTCTTTATACAGTGCATTCCGATTATGGCTTGTGCTGTTGTGGTAGTACAGGGTGTGCTGAGGGGCAATCCTAGATACGCCATCTCGTTCTCGACCCCCCATGGATGAAGGACCCAATCAGGTCAGGGCAGGCGGCCCTGCCCGAACAGTCCAAGAAGAAGGGAACATCCGTTACGTTTGGGCAAGGACACACACACCCTCCTCAAAGTCGCACTTTGGGCAATATCACAAACTACATTCCGGAGAGTGTTTCGAGTATTGATCAACACTCTCCTCCGCCAGGTTGAGGACGCGTTGAAAGTGCAAATTTCGCGGGATCGCGAGCATAAATCGAGCCCCACAATTGAGTGGGCAGTTCGATTGGCGAAACATGAAGACCGATACGCTGTAACGATCGCACCTGAGCTTTGATACTGCCCTGCATGCGACTCGCACCCAAAACACATACGTCGTCATACCCACCTGCGACACTCGCAGCCAACAAGGCAACCACCCTGGCGATGTGATGTTTACAGATTTCGCCAAATGTGGACAATTTGGGCGACAGCGATTCCTGGCTCTGCGAAATTTCGCATCGTAGGCATCAGAATCAATCGCGCCAGGTAGGCTCGGTTCGAGAGCATCAATGACACTTTGATGCCTCTCACTGATCTCCCGCGATCAGTGATCAGTCGCATTCACACACTGCACAAAATTTGGCCAAAAAAACTTACTGTAGCAAGATTACATCACAGTAAATTGGGTTACAGATTTGCATATTGATCGCCATGCCCGATCGGTCGTCTACTTTCAGCGCGTCCTGAGCCATTGTATAGCTTCGTTTCTTCGGACCTGATCCTCAGCGATGCCTTACTGAACCACCCACAGCAGAAAGCCCAATCGTGGAGCATTTTTTAGAATCAAGGTCCTGAGGAAACAATATGTGTGAACCCGTTCTGAGCTGGTGCGTGTTTTTTGCCCTAGAAAAGCTTCCCGTCTAACATAAGACCTTGGTTTTCGCAGTGAAGCTTTTTGAAACAGGAAAACCTCTCTTGTCGCCAGACACTTTTCCCAACCAATCCATTCGCTCATCCCGCTTGTTGCTGCACTGGCCTCTGCAAGCAATCCTCGAATCCAATGCCCCGTACTACGTCCCACACGATTCGACTCTCCGAGAAAGCTCACTTCGAAGGACAGAGCAGTGCAGAGCAGAGTAAACAAGAGTGTGGAGCATTGCAGTGCAGTGCGTTCAAAAGCGGTGCAGTACAGTTCAGCGCACTCAATTAGTGAAACACATTCCAAGCACACCGCTGAAACTGGAGAGCATTTCAGCAGCTGTACCGACAGCCAATCTCGCGAGCAGGCAGCAAGCAAAGCAAGCACACCAGTTCAACCAATCAATTCTCCTTGTCACTGTATCATACCCAACCACCCAGCCCCCTCGTCAATCAGGTACACAAGCTAGGCAAATGTTCCAACTCGCCCCAACCCAACCCACCCGTTCCCCTCACCACCTTTGTCCTCCTTGGCTTAGGTTTTCTCATCCTTTCTTCCGTCCATTTCTTACCATGCAGCTACCTTCTCTCGTTGGATAAACTCTCGACTGCCGCAGCGCGGCTTGCTATAAGCCCGCTGAAATGTCCTCTCTTGAGCACTCGGCGCGCCACAATGCGACATAATACGCGCGGTGACTCGTTGCATCGCTAAGTGAATGACTGTTGTTTGAGCGGGCTGTCGTTGCCTCGGCTTCCGTATCTCTAATCCCGTCTTCCGCGTGACTAATACCAAGCTCTCGCTCACGAATCCGCTCGCTAAGAATAGCCCCTATTTCCAATATAAGAATATCTCCAAGCTGAAACGCCGAAACTCCTCGCACCCGTTTTTACATCCGTACCCGTTGTAACCCTCCTCCTTACGGCGCATTGCTGCCATTATGGGTCAAGCGCTGTCCGCGCAGCCAATACACGAGGAGCCACAGCCGCAGCCTCAGCTTTGGCCCATCTGCCTCTCTCCTTCCGATCTTTTCTCCAACAACCCCCACCACTTCGGCCCCTACACGCCCGCCAATGGCGGCCTTATCCGCGCGCGCCAAATCATGGCGCAGCTTCCGCCGGGAGACGCGCTCCCGGGGCTCCTTTCCATTTTCCTCGACCGCCTTTCCTCCCCGTCTCTCTCCCCGTCCTCCGAGTTTTCCGCCTATTCCCCCCGCTTGGCGCAGGCTTCGGCGCTTGTTTCTTCCGCCTCCTCCTCTTCCTCCTCCGCGTCTTCCGCCTCTTCCTCCTTCTTCGTCTCCTCCCCATCCCCGCGCACGCGCGCGCTCCCCCCGCCGTACTTCCCCCTCGTGCAGCCGCAGCCGCTGACCCCGCGCTCGCGTTCGCTGCTGCTTCCCCTGGGCGGGGCGGATGACGTCATCCGCGCGGGGCTTCTGGACGTGCAGGCGCGCGCAGAAGCGGAGTATCAGCGCCTGGTGGAGCGGATAGAGGAGGCGGCGGAGCTCGGCGCGGAGCTCGGCGGGGGGGATGGCGCGGAGCTTGGCGAGAGAAGCGGGAGCGGAGGCGGAGGCGGAGGGGGAGCTCGCGGAGGTTACTGGGGCAGCGTGCGCAGTCCTGGCGGAGAAGGGATGTATAACAAGGGGGAGTATGCCGGCGGGGCTTTTGGCAATGCCGCAAGTGCGGATGGGCGCAACGCTACGAGGACGGAGAGCGGAGAGGCGGTGGAAAGCGGTGTTTATGTAAACGTGGAGCGAATGGAAGAGGCGCTGCTGGTGGGAATTGCGTTTTGGATGGAGTTTTGGGAGCAATGGGGGGAAGACCCGAGCGCGTCGCTAGAAGCGCCTAGGGCGCGGCGGAGATCCCTGGAATCTCCGCGCACGATGCTCTGGCGCGGCGGAGAGGCTGCGCCGATTAGGGGAAAATGGGGCGCGGGCGCGGGGGCCGGCGCTGCGCCAATGCCTGTGATGGCGCTGACTAGGTCCGCGCACGCGGGAGGCGGTCCCCCAAAGGAGCGGAAGCAAGTGAGCATTGTATTGACGGTAGGAGAGGGCGAAGGAGAATGCGAAGAGGGGAAAGAGAAGGGAGAGAGAAGAGGGCAGGGGAGGGGGGAAAAGGGAGAGAAGGAAAAAGAGGGGGGTCCTGGGCAGGAGGATGGGAGGATGGCTGAAAATGTGGAGGGGGAGGAAGGGAAGAGAGGGGAGGAGGACGAGGAGGAAGCGGAGCAGGAGGGTGGGAGTGTTATTGTGGCAGACCACATTGTTGAAGCACCTGAAGCACCTGAAGCACCTGAAGCACCTGAGGCACCTGAGGCACCTGATGCACCTGAAGCACCTGAGGTTCCTAATGGCGTGGATCCTTCAGGTGCGATGCCAGCAGCAGCAGAAGCTCCAGCGTCCCCATCCCTTCCTCCGCCAGCCATACCTGTGACAGCCGCAGTCCACCCTTCCCCAGTTCCCCCTTCCCCAGTTCCCCCTTCCCCAGTTCCCCCTTCCCCAGTCCCCCCTTCCCCAGTTTCACCGTCCCCAGTCCCACCCTCCCCAGTTCCCTTCTCCTCAGCGCCTCCCCCGGCCGCAGCTGGGGGGTGGTTCAGGGCGAGTCTGAGGGAGAGGGAGTATGAGCAGTGGCAGGATCTATGTCGGGCGGCAGGGCGGGCGTGGGAGGAGAGGGAGGAGGCCGTTCAAGCCAGGGGGTTTCTCAGCCATAAACGACGAGCATCTGGTGTCTCTGCTGTTTCAGGTGTTTCTGCCGCGTCAGGTGTTTCTGCTGCTGTTTCTTCTGGTTCAGGAGGTGGTTCTTCTGCTACAACTCCTGCTGCTGCGGCTGCTGCGGTTGCTGGTGGTGGCACTGCTGCTGCTGCTACTGCTACTGCTGCTGCTGCCGGTGCTGCTGGTGGTGGTGCTGCTGCTGCTGCTGCTGGCACCACGAATGTCACCACGAGCGGTTCAGTTCAGCCACAGCGCCGGGCGTCTCTGCCTTCCCGCAGCTTGAAAGAAGGCAGGAGAAGAAGCGGCAAGGAAGCTTCTTCTGCTGCGCAAGGAGGGGAGGGTGGTGCAGGGGAGGCCGCTGCTACTGCTGCTGCTGCCGCTGGTGTTGCTGGTACTGGCAGGAACCGGAGTGCTGAGGCACCAACCGGTGTGTCTTCCAGCTGGTTCCCTGTAGGCTTTGGTGCTGCTGACAGTTTCCTCACTGCTGCACCAGCACCAGCACCAGCATCCACACCAGCATTCGGCAGCATGACTGGTCTTAGCCTCACGTCTCCTCTGACTGGCATGGGCAGCAGCAGCTTCAACACCATGCCGTCTCCATCCTCGTCGCTCCGGCCCCCGCGCAATCGCTCCCGGTCAGCTGCTTCAACCGTGGACAGCAGCAGCACTAGTAGTCTGAGCGCGGTCAGTCTCCTGCCCACTGTTGACGTCACCAGCGTGGCAGGCAGCATGCTCCGGAGTTTTTCGGGCAGCTTGACGCTCTCGTCCCGCCCGAGCGAGGACGGGTCGGTTTCGGGCAGGAGCTTGCGGAGCAACGCGAGTGCTGTGGGGCATGGGAGGAGGAGGTGGAGATCCACCACTAGAAACGGGCTGCAGCAGAAATTAGTCCAAGATGTGCTTTTACTGGATGGGACTGAAACGGATGTGCCGCCGAGCTATGCTGACGTGGCGCGGATGCTGGGGCTTGCAGGGTCGTTGGCGGATCGCCAGCCTGTCAGCATGGCGCTGTGTATTCTGCGTGTGTTAGATATGGTCGGCCAGACTCGGCCTTTTATGCGCGTGGAGGAAGGGAGCGATGTGAGTGACTTGGAGAGAGAGGATTGTGAGGAGGGCGAGGAGGAGGAAGGGGAAGGAGAAGAGGAGGCGGAGGGAGCGGAGGGAGAAGGAAGAGCAGAGGAGGGAGGGAAAGATGGGGGGTTTAGGGAGGGAGGTGGGGTGGGGCAGGAAGGAGAGTGTGTGTTGCGTTCAGACGAGGTTGGGGAGGGACGTCCCCATAACGAGTCCAATCACCAAGCTGAAAGCAATGACTGTGGCCAAGAAAAGGGAGGAGGAGAAGTAGGAGTGGAAGAGGTAGGGGAGCAGGCCGGGAAAGAGGCATGGGCCGAACCAGAAACCCCTGCCACCGACCGCAGCAACAGCGTCAGGAACCGAAACAGGTTCGGCGACGACAGGCTCAGGGACGACAGGTTCGGCGCGGGAGGGAGGAGGGAGCTGGTGAATGTGGAGGAGGAGATGGAGAGGTACGCAGTGGACAAGGCGTGCAGGCACTTCATAGTCTCGTGCCTGCTGGATCTGCTTCAGCTGCACGCCCACCACGCCTGCCGCCCCCACCAGCAGCAGCCCTGCTTCAACCTCCCTGCCACTCCTGCCACGCCTGCGCCGACGGCAAAGGGCGCTTCTGAGCTGGTGGTATCCAATCAGGTGGTTCCTGAGCAGGTTGTACCTGAGCAGGTTGTATCTGAGCAGGTGGTATCTGAGGCAGGAGCGCCGTACCGCCTGGGAGAGCTAGCAGAGGTGCTACTAGTAGAATCAACAGTGGCGACCAACGGGATGAACCCCATCGAATGCGCTCATCTGGACAGGCTGTATCTGACCCACGGTACCGTCCAGGGGGGGCTGCATTTAGGCCCGGGGATTCTCGCCCTAGCTGTCGCCCTCGCCATGCAGTCGCTCCCGAGCCTGTGGCCTGATGACGTGGCAGAAGTGGCAGAGTTTTTAGAGGAGATGGGGTGTGAAGAGGCCGGGTATCGGGCGCGGGTGCGGGTGCTGGGGAGCGTGTATGCTACTGAGGCGGATTGTAAGGAGGTTATAAGGCGTACGGTGCGGCCGAGAGGGGTGGAGCCAGTGAGGCGGAGGATTCAGAGAGTGGTGGGGGTGGCGGAGACGGCGCTAACCCATGCGCCGACTGAGGCGTCGCGATCAGCGTATGTGAGGAGGTTCTGTGATGCTCTTATGGAGGAGTTGCTGCAGGTGCTTCCTGAGGCTCTCCCGGAGGCTTGGCCCGAGCCTGCTCCCATGCCTCCCCCGAGGAGTTTGAGTGGAGGGAGGGTGGGGAATGGGGAGAGGGGCTGGACGGAGGTGTTTTCGCCTCCGCCTCTTTCCTGCCCTGCCGCCCTGCCGGCCTCAGTGTCTCTTCCTAATGGCCTCACTGCTGGTTCACCAGCAGCAGCACCAGCAGCAGCTGCTGCTGCAGCAGTTGCTGTGGTTGACGCCGAGCAGAGCTCACACTCATGCCATGCCACCAGCCAGACGCCCTTCACCACCAACCCAAACCCCCCAACAACACCTCCCGCCACCATTAAGGCCCTGAAACCAGCCGCCCGGCTTCTGAGCATCCTTCCCGTAATCCCGGACTCCGAAGCAGCTCCCATCATTCCCTGGGTGCGGGATCTAGCAGAGGCGTACCTGCGTCTGAGCCGGCACCTGTCTTTAGACTCAGAGGGGGTGCGACAGCAGCACGAGCGGCACACGGACGTGTGCGCGTGTATCATCCTGAGGTGCCTCGTGGCGGAAGTGGCGAGGGAGAGGGAAGAGGCGAGGGTGGAGGCTGCTGCGGTGGCGGTTGCTGCGGCGGCTTCTTCGCCTGGGTCGCCTGATGCTGCTGGGATGCCTGAGGGGGCTGGTTCGACTGGTTCGGCTGCTGCAGTTAAAGCTACTGAGGGTGGTGGTGCTGCTGCTGCTGCTACCGATCCGGCTGTTGGTCTGCCAGGAAATTCCGTGGAGGCCTTATTGGGAGGGAGGGGAGGTGAGGAAAGCAGTAGCGCAGACGCACAGCAGGAGAGGAGGGAGAGGGAGGAGAGGGACGCGGCGATGGCGGCGCTGCTAGTGCATTTGGACAAGGCGCCGGGGGGCACGGGGTCGCTGGCATGGAAGGCCATTGGTCGCATGCTGGAGCGCAGGAACCCCACCCACCCCGTGCTGCCCGCCGTGTGGGTGCGGGCCGTGCTCAACACCCACCTGGTGAGTGCTGTGTGCGTGTGCTGTGTTGCCTGTTGTGGTGGTGAGTGCTGAAGCAGTGCAACCTGTCTCCACCTGTGCTGCTTGCCGTGTGGGTGCGGGCGGTTCTCAAAACACCCACCCATCTCCCCCACCCCCTCCCTCTCCCCTCCCTAACCCTCTCTTCTCCTTGTTGCCAACGCTACAGGCTGTGAACGAGGAGGGAACGGGCACAGACGTGGACGCTCTCGAGCTCTTTGATTGGTCGCTCGAGTCTCTTCTCGTCACTCTCCCAGGAGGCCCCGAAGCTGCTGCGTCCCTTCTAAAGGTCATAGACTCTGCCGCACAATGGGATTCCACTGCAAGATTGGAGAATTCTGCTGCACAGTTGGGGAGTCCTGCTGCACGATGGGAGAACTCCACTGTCGGTGGCTGTTCGGGTGCGGCGCGGCTGTCGGATGCGACACGTGTCGACGTGCTACTGGCCATTGCTGCGCGTGTGGCGTGCACTATTTATTGGCGGTGGCCCAGAAGGAGGGATGCGCCGAGATTCGTGGCTCAAGTGCTGACGCTGGCGCACGGCACAGGTGAGACTGCTTGCGCTGCTGCTGGTGCACAGCGCAGGGTGCTGCGACGCTTTGTCCTATTGGTGTCTGGGGGGCCAAGTGGGTAAGGGCACGAGTGATACTTTTTTGAGACGTCTCAAAAAAAACTTGCGCTGCTGCTGGTGCACAGCACGGGGTGCTGCGACGCTTTGTCCTATTGGTGTCTGGGGGGCCAAGTGGGTAAGGGCACGAGTGAGACTCTTACGATAAGCGGTTAGAATGTGTGGAGGCCGGTTTGGGTGGGGAATGGATTATGGAATAGGTTGGGGTATGGGAAAGGGTTACGGGTGGGAAAGTGCTCATGAGATCTATATGCCCCAATTTCCTCCCTAACACTCACGCCCGCACCAGTGGGCATGACCTCGGAGCAACTGCAGCGGGCTCTCAAGATCGGGGAGCGCCTGTGGGGATGGACCATGCCCAGCCCTGCGTCCCTGCAGCAGCGCTGCGAGGTGAGTCTGTGCCGGTCAAATGTTGGGAATGCTAATCAATCCAGTCCGTGTCAGTTAAAGCCATTACGCCAGTGGGGATAGACCGTGCCCAGCCTGGCATCCCTGCAACAGCGGTGTGAGGTGAGTCGTTTAGAGGTCGTCTACTGTTAATGTGAGTCAACACAGGTCAATGCAGTCCGTGGCAGTACAGCCATTACGCTTGTGGGGATGGACCATGCCCAGTCCAGCTTCCCTGCAGCAGCGCCGTGAGGTGAGTCAATGCGAGTCAACACAAGTCAATCCAGTCCGTGCCCCTAAAGCAGACAGTTTCTCACCTTGCTATGCTTCCCCTGCACCTCCATCAATCCTTGCATCCCATGTCACTGCACAGACGCCAGAGGAGGCGCTGGAGATAAGGGAGAGCTGCATTATATCAGTGTGATGCTCCTCTCATGCACAGAAGCAGACAGTGTCTCACCATACCCCTGCACCCTCATCACTCCTCGCATCCCCGTGTTCAATGCGCAGACGCCAGAGGAGGCGCGGGAGATAAGGGAGAGCTGCATTATATCAGCGTGGTATTCCACGTCGGCGTTCCGAGGGGAGGAGCCCATAGAGCTCATTGGCTCGCAATGGCCCTACAGGTAGATACGTTGGCGCCTCAAGGGATGGCTTTCGGGAGCTTCAAAGGGAGAGCTGCGTCATATCAGCATTGTATTCCACATCGGCGTTCCAAGGGGAAGAGCCCATAGAGCTCATTGGCTCGCAATGGCCCTACAGGTAGATTCCTTTGGCGCTGTTCCCCAAAGGACGGCTCTCAGGCAGTGAGCTGTATCATATCATATCTGCACAGGCGCCAGAAGGGTCGTGGGAGATCAGGGAGCGCTATATCATATCATATCATATCATATCTGCTCAGACGCCAGAGGAGGCGTGGGAGATCAGGGAGAGGTGTATCATATCAGCATGCTTCTGACACGGCATTTTGAGGAGAATCACCTATAGTGCTTATGGGTTCACACTGACCGTACAGAGAGCTATGTGGTTACCAGGTAAAAGCTGTCAGCAGTGGCTCACTCCAGGTGATCCCATATTTGAACGTGGTTTGATAGTGGTCCTACAGGTTGTTATGCACGATACCAAGTAACAGCTCGGTTACCAGGTAACAGCACAGTTACCAGGAAGCAGCAGGAAAGGCAGGGATGGAGCGAAGAAGGACAAGGGAATCTGTTCTGGGTCCGCAGGAGTTTTGAGGCGTCGCAGAGGTACAATATGGGGGTGCAGACGCATTTGGTGATGAACAGAACTTCGAGCAGGAGTGTGGTGGATGGAAAAGACACAGTGGTGCAAGAGAAGGTGGATGGAAACCGTGAAGTGGACTTCATCCGAGGCTGAGGCGTCTCTACGTCGAGGCAGAGCCTTGAGGAGGGTTGACACGACACGACTAACCTGACCTGATCTTTGAAGCCGTGTACACGCTTGAGTTCCATTCCCAGCATTATGGCGATGATACGATGGTGTGGAAGTGCAGGAACTCAAAAGCGGAGGAAAGCAGAAGCAGAAAACCAACCTGACCTGATCTTTGAAGCCGTGTACAGGCTTGAGTTCCCGGCAATCTGGTGATGAAGCGGTGGTGTTCAAGCACAGGAATTCGATTTCGAAAGCGGAGAAAAATGGAAGCAGCGGCAACAACACTGCAGCAGTGGGACTTCTGCAAGAGCGAACCAAACATGCTGTGACGATTGGATTTCTGCAGGAGGCTTTCAGAGAAGCAGAAAGAGTTGATGGGTGGCAGGAAAGGGGATGCGGACGGAACTCAAGAGGAATGAGCCGTTTTGAGCAGCCACAAGAAACCAAGCAAGCATGTCTTGAGGGCTGGAGGCAAGCTGACAAGTTAGCAGGCACGATCGGTGCAGTGCCATGACTACACGTGCAGCTAAGCTGCTCGTGAAAGGGGTGTCAATAAATTTAATTGGCAGCGGGAGGGTGTGGGGGGAGTAAGGGACTGTGTGAGTCGTTTTTCTGTGCATTCTGCTATTTGATTTGCTCAACTTATTACATATAAGCGTGTATGCCTTTTGTAAGCCTATAATTGCTTATGGAACTTGACATGTACCGTCGAGTACCAGCGGTTCAGCCGGGCTTGCAGATTCTGCTAATGAGGCCAGACATTCCTACTCATGCGCCCCCAATCGACCGTCATTAGCGTTCGACACCACCACCTCCTACATATCCTTCCTATCTTATCCTCCTACCTGTTTCGTACTAAAGTTCGAATCGTCGGATCGCGACGCCGCGTTTTTTCCGCGTCCATGCTTTCAAACATGCGACAACGCACTACTGGATAGGTTAGTGTGTTTTGCTGCGGGAGCAACCCACAGATTAACCGTCACAGCCCGCTGAATCAGTGGCTTGCGTTGCGCTACCTAATCCCACGCCGCAGTTGCTCAATTGCGGCCCATCACGCCCTAGCGCCTCGGGCTGTTTGGTGCAACTGTACGCGCTTTTTTCAGTCCCCGTGAAACGACGGACACGAGTGTCAAGGGCACCCCTCTCCGTGGCTCCATCGACATTAGCCCGCCCTTTTCCCTTCCTACGTACCTCGTTTTTCGACTCTCACTCCTCAGGGTCGGTCCACGAATCGCTTTACGCCACGTCCGCCCTGCTGGGCCAACGCCACGGGCCCCGGGGGCAGGTAGGGATCGTTGGTGAGGCTGTTGCGAAGATGAGGTCAATGCCGTCTGTTGGCATGCAACAACAACAGCAGCAACAGCAGCAACATCAACAACATCAGCAGCAGCAGCCATTGCAGCAGCCACCACTGCAAGAGCAAGCAGGAAAAGCAAGGCAAACAGGGTTGAGGGCTACCCGGGTGCTCGGAGCTGCTCCTGCATTGATGAAGAAAAAGCCCTCCCCAGGAGTCTCATCCTCGTTAACGGGCATGGCGTTAGCAGTTAGGCAACTCGCTGCGGTGTACGAACAAGTGGAGCGCGCCAAGCTGGAGCGGCTGCTGGAAACGGAGAGAATGCGGATGGAGCTGAGCAAAGACATGGAAGCGCAGATGATGCAGATGCAAGTCGACATGGCGCGAGCAAGCGGTGCTCCTAGGTACAGTTTTGATGCTGGTGGTGGTGGTGGTGGTGCTGCTGCTGCTGCTGCTCCTGTTGGTGCTGGTGGCGCTGGCGGTGCTTGTGGTGGTCTTACGGATGGGCTGGTGGGTAGCATCCATGAGGATTGCGTTGGTGGTGGTAACCAGAAAGACAGTCTTGATGGTGGGAATCAAGAGCCAGTGAGCAGCAGCAGGCTAGATGATACTGCTGGACGTGCAGCTGGTTTTGATGGCAATGGTGCCAATGGTGGTCAGGGCCTAAGTGGTTCAGGGAAAGAGGAGACATTCAACTTCTCGACGCCTGCAGGGAACATGTTGAATCCGTCAACCATTGAGAGTCTACAGACAACAGCAACGCCCAATCCATTGTTTAGTCTGTTCCGCACTCCTCCTCGCCTCCGCATCGCTGAGTGCATGAGTGCCCGCTTGGAGCTTCTCATTGACCCGTTGGGTAGCTTTGACTTATTGTCGCCTTCACTCATGTAGGCTAGGCTCTTGAGCTTGAGCGTGGATATTGGAATACTGGAGGCTATCAGGCCATTATCATGGTTAAAACCTGAGTACAGCATGGTAATTTTCAAGTTCAAGATTCTTGAACTTGAAGTCGCCAAAAACAGGGTTACCCTACTTGTTTTGAGAAAATTCTCGCGACCCCAGGCAATCGTCCTGCGACAACGGAACCCGAGTGCCCAAAACCAGAACTGACGCGATGATCGTCAACCATTTGTACTATTCACCACTCACATAACTTGCTTACCAAGTAGTTCTCATAGGCTAGGAGGCTCCAAGGCAAAAACTGGCGCTAGTTGGCAAAAGCAAGTCGTTGATAGGTGTTTTTTTTTGTGCGGAAGGAAATATAAGTCCACCTCAACCATCTTAGTCAGTGCACGCTCTAATCTCTCCCTCACGTCACCGATCTCGTGTTACAACCCGTACACCCACGGCACTTACGTTAGTAAACGAGATTCGCGTTACTCGAGTCTTGCATTCAAGCTCGCGTCGCACACGCAGGATCTTGTCACACTTGCTGCCATTCAGCCTCGTGTCACGATCGTACCGTACCGTTTTAGGCACGGGTCGCTCACGCGAATGCCGTACTGGTTCGCGTAACGCACTCAGCCGTTAGTCGCACATGTTCCTCTTCGTCGGCCGCTCTTGCCCACGGCAGACCGCTTTCCTCGTCGCCCGCGCTTTCCCTCATTACCCTCCCCGACCCTCTGGTCGCATATGTTCCCGTAGTTGCCCACGCTCTCCCACGTTAACCACACATCCCCTCGTCGCAATTGCTAGTAGTAAACATACCGCGCTTCAGATCGTCAACCGCGCTCCCCTCATCACCCTCGTTGACCCACACCGATCCTCGCCGCCCTCACCTCCCTTGGTCACCGACATTCCCTCTCGTCGCTCGCGCTTTCCCTCATCACCCGTGCCGACCCTCGCCGCCCTCGCCTCCCCTCGTCGCCCGCGCGTCCCGTCGTCGGGCTTGCCTCCCATTCACTCGCGCTTCCCCTTGTCATCCGCGTTTCCATCCGCTCTTCCCCTCTCCCCATCTCACCATCTCCAGCCCATCCTTCCTCCCTCATTCCTTCCGAAGGGGTGGGACAAATGGGGAGGAACAGATGGGGAGGAACAGATGGGGAGAAACAGAGGTGGTCGCTTCCGCCACCACAATCGAACAGCGTTTTGATTCCCTCTCTGCTCCCCACCATCCTCCCCCCAGCTCTCTCCCCGGCATCTGCCCCCGTTCCCCCCATCCTCTTCCCTGTTTCCCCGTATCCCCTGCCGTGCTTCCCCCCATCCTATCCCCTCTTACCCCGTATCCCATGCCCTGCTTCCCCCCATCCCCTTCCCTGCTTCCCCCCATCCCCTTCCCTACTTCCCCCCATCCCCTTCCCTGCTTCCCCTCATCCCCTTCCCTGCTTCCCCTCGTCCCCTCCCCTGCTTTCCCCCATCCCCTTCCCTGCTTCCCTCCATCCCCTTCCCTGCTTTCCCCCATCCCCTGCCCTGCTTCCCCCCATCCCCCTCCCTGCTTCCCCCCATCCCCTTCCCTGCTTCCCCCCATCCCCTTCCCTGCTTCACCCCATCCCCTTCCCTGCTTCCCCCCATCCCCTTCCCTGCTTCCCCCCATCCCCTTCCCTGCTTCACCCCATCCCCTTCCCTGCTTCCCCCCATCCCCTCCCCTGCTTCCCCCCATCCCCTCCCCTTCTTCCCCCCATCCCCCTCCCTGTTTCCCCCCATCCCCTTCCCTGCTTCCCCCCATCCCCTTCCCTGCTTCCCCCCATCCCCTTCCCTGCTTCCCCCCATCCCCCTCCCTGCTTCCCCCCATCCCCTTCCCTGCTTCCCCCTTTCCCTTTCCCTGCTTCACCCCATCCCCTCCCCTGCTTCCCCCCATCCCGTCCCGTGCTTCCCCCCATCCCCTTCCCTGCTTCCCCCCATCCCCTTCCCTGCTTCCCCCCATCCCCTTCCCTGCTTCCCCCCATCCCGTCCTGTGCTTCCCCCCATCCCCTTCCCTGCTTCCCCCCATCCCCTTCCCTGCTTCCCCTCATCCCCTTCCCTGCTTCCCCTCGTCCCTTCCCCTGCTTCCCCCCATCCCCTTCCCTGCTTCCCCCCATCCCCTTCCCTCCTTCCCCCCCTGCTGCCTCCCATCACTCTCATTCTCCTTCCTCCCGCACTCACACCTCTCAGTCCTCTCGCACTCTCTCTCTCCGTCCTCTCGCACTCGCACTCTCCTCCCCACCACCCTCAGCCCTCCTTCCCCTCACACCCACCCATGTTCCCACCTGCCCTCCCCATCCCTGCCTTTCCCTCCCTGCCCTGCCCTTCCCTTCTCCATCCCTTCTCAAACCTTCCCTTTCATGTCATGCCCTCACCTTCCCCCTCATCTTCCGCCCTCCAGTTACCATGCATGTGCACCCATCACTGTCTCCCCATACCAGTACATGCTTTCATCATGTGCGCTTGCTTGTGTTCCCCTGCAGTTGTTCCCTTGGCACCTCACACCACTTCCCCCATGTTCCACACACAATTCTTTCTGCCTACTCCACTCTCCAAATTTTCAGTGGTGAAGCAGAGGAGCAAGCTGAGGCGCAGCTAGAGCTAGTCCATGCTTTACGCTGTACCACCACCTGTTTCTTGTGTGTTGTATGCAAGCATGATACTGTATTACTGTTGGAGATATCCATTTCAAAAGCGCAATATGTTTCTGCAGTGCAATATATTCTTCCAAGATGCATGGGCAAGAGTGTCAGAAGGGTAGATAGAGGCATGATTCCACTTTTGATTGTACCCTTCTCAAGGACTTGAAAAAAACATGAGGGATGGGATGATGGGCTTCGGCGAGTTGCAGTGCCAGAAAATCTTAATTGGTGTCACTTCACTACCCAGGGAGAGGGAGGGAATACGAGGGATGGGGAGGGGGAACAAGACTAAAGTCAAACAGGGGAGAGAGGGAAGAGGGGGGAGAGGAAAGCAGGGCTGAGAGGGAAAGACATAAGTACCGTAAAAAAAAGGGAGGATAGGGAAGAGGGCAGATAGGAAGAGGGGGGGAGGGAAAGTGTGAGATAGGAAGATGAAACGAGGTGAAGAAGAGGGGGAAACGAGGGGAAGCAGGGGGGGAAACGAGGGACAGCAAGGGGGGAAACGAGGGGAAGCAGGGGGGGAAACAAGGGAAAGCAAGGGGGGAAACGAGGGGAAGCAGGGGGGGAAACCAGGGAAAGCAAGGGAGGGAAATGAGGGGCCAGCAGTAGGGAAAATGAGGGGAAGCGGGGGGGGTGGGGGGAGGGAAATGAGGGGAAGCTGGGGGGAAAATAAGGGAAGCAGGAGGGTACAAACAGAGATAGCAGGTAGGGAAATGAGGTGAAGCAGGGAGGGAAATGAGGTGAAGCAGGGAGGGAAATTAGGTGAAGCAGTGAGGGAAATGAGGTGAAGCAGTGAGGGAAATGAGGTGAAGCAGGGAGGGAAATGAGGTGAAGCAGGGAGGGAAAGGAGGTGAAGCAGGGAGGGAAATGAAGTGAAGCAGTGAGGGAAATGAGGTGAAGCAGGGAGGGAAATGAGGTGAAGCAGTGAGGGAAATGAGGTGAATCAGTGAGGGAAATGAGGTGAAGCAGGGAGGGAAATGAGGTGAAGCAGTGAGGGAAATGAGGTGAATCAGTGAGGGAAATGATGTGAAGCAGTGAGGGAAATGAGGTGAAGCAGTGAGGGAAATGAGGTGAAGCAGGGAGGGAAATGAGGTGAAGCAGTGAGGGAAATGAGGTGAAGCAGGGAGGGAAATGAGGTGAAGCAGGGAGGGAAATGAGGTGAAGCAGTGAGGGAAATGAGGTGAAGCAGGGAGGGAAATGAGGTGAAGCAGTGAGGGAAATGAGGTGAATCAGTGAGGGAAATGAGGTGAAGCAGTGAGGGAAATGAGGTGAAGCAGGGAGGGAAATGAGGTGAAGCAGGGAGGGAAATGAGGTGAAGCAGTGAGGGAAATGAGGTGAATCAGTGAGGGAAATGAGGTGAAGCAGTGAGGGAAATGAGGTGAAGCAGGGAGGGAAATGAGGTGAAGCAGGGAGGGAAATGAGGTGAAGCAATGAGGGAAATGAGGTGAAGCAGGGAGGGAAATGCGGTGAAGCAGTGAGGGAAATGAGGTGAAGCAGTGAGGGAAATGAGGTGAAGCAGGGAGGGAAATGAGGTGAAGCAGGGAGGGAAATGAAGTGAAGCAGTGAGGGAAATGAGGTGAAGCAGGGAGGGAAATGAGGTGAAGCAGGGAGGGAAATGAGGTGAATCAGTGAGGGAAATGAGGTGAAGCAGGGAGGGAAATGAGGTGAAGCAGTGAGGGAAATGAGGTGAATCAGTGAGGGAAATGATGTGAAGCAGTGAGGGAAATGAGGTGAAGCAGTGAGGGAAATGAGGTGAAGCAGGGAGGGAAATGAGGTGAAGCAGGGAGGGAAAAGAGGTGAAGCAGGGAGGGAAATGAGGTGAAGCAGGGAGGGAAATGAGGTGAAGCAGGAAGGGAAATGAGGTGAAGCAGGGAGGGAAATGAGGTGAAGCAGTGAGGGAAATGAGGTGAAGCAGTGAGGGAAATGAGGTGAAGCAGGGAGGGAAATGAGGTGAAGCAGTGAGGGAAATGAGGTGAAGCAGTGAGGGAAATGAGGTGAAGCGGTGAGGGAAATGAGGTGAAGCAGGGAGGGAAATGAGGTGAAGCAGGGAGGGAAATGAGGTGAAGCAGGGAGGGAAATGAGGTGAAGCAGTGAGGGAAATGAGGTGAAGCAGTGAGGGAAATGAGGTGAAGCAGGGAGGGAAATGATGTGAAGCAGGGAGGGAAGTGCGGTGAAGCAGGGATGAGGGGGAGAAAGGGTGGGCCATTGGCGTAGAGCATAGGGCGCAGAGCATGGGGCGCGGAGCATAGGGCGCAGAGCATGGGGAACAGAGCATAGGGCGCAGAGCATGGGGCGCAGAGCATAGGGCGCAGAGCATGGGGCGCAGAGCATGGGGCGCAGAGCATGGGGCGCAGAGCATAGGGCGCAGAGCATGGGGCGCTGTGCATAGGGCGCCGAGCATAGGGCGCAGTGCATAGGGCGCAGAGAATAGGGCGCAGAGCGCAGGGCTCATAGAGCAGAGCGCAGGGGGCAGAACACAGGGGGCGGAGGGGGCAGAGCGCAGAGTGCAGGGGCGCGGAGCACGTGTACCTGTCCTGGCATGGTGGTGCCTCGTTCTAGCGCCCTCTCCACGCTGCTATCCGAATAGAATAGTGCGCGCGCTGGACGTTTGTGAGTTGACGCGCTGCTAGACGACCAGTGGCGCGAGCTGCGCGTAAACCGGTGAGGGGGATGGTCGTCTCTGTATTTCGCGCGCTGCTACCCGCCCGTGGGCGCCCGGTGGCTGACAGAGTAGAATTGCATAACCCTAAGGGTATGCGTATTGTGGACGCCCCCAGTGTGGCATTGCCCTAAGTAATAGGCACTTTCGAGCCCAATATACGTTCGCAATGCCCCGAAACCGTCGACCTACGTGCTGCCAGAGGCAATCGATGTGCCAGAGGCCATATCACGCTGTGTCGCGCTCTTCTCAACGCTCCTTCCTGCGACTCAGCATGTACGTTTTCTGGCATCGTTTGCACGTTTCCTTGTTGTTAGCTCCTGCGGTTATTTCACACGAAGTAGTTAGTTTGATTGATCGTGGTGTTCTTTCTCCTCACTCGTGTTGGTGCTTCCCGTTTTCGTTTTTGCTAGTAGTCGCATTGTGCGTGGACCTTCTCCACTACTTGAACCTGATTGGGTGAAGAACAATCCTTGCGACACTCCGTCCAGTCGCTCCACAGTGCTTGCAAATCCGTCGAAGCTGCACAGTGTCGTTCACCATCGCTTCACGTTTGGCGAGACTCCTTTCCCCCTCGTCAATCGATATTTTTCTCGCTACACTGACTTTGCCGAAATTCTTGTTTTCAAGGTTTCGCCAACACTATTTCAAACCCACATAACTTGATAAATTACCATGCTGACTCCGGGCTTTAAATTGCTTCTTATTTCTCTTGCACATCGCACATTGCCAGCTTGAACCTGCAATGCAGATATTATTATCGTACAACCTCCTCCAATCCACAGATAGTTGACAGATGTTATAGGTAGTATGGCATGGAGCTTCAGCTATACCATGTAGTACCAGCTTGATCTGCACAGGACACCACAGCACTTGCATCACTGACATTTTAGTCTCTGGATTGGATGACTTGGTGGTGACACTTTATGGGTGTTCCCATCATCCTGCAATACCGTACCAGGAACCATATTCAGTAATAGAACAGTGGATCCAACATGAGCTGACCACCGGAGGCTATTGTTGTTTGAGTTACGTTGAAGCCCAAGCTTCAGAATCTGGTTGCCCCATCATCGTAAGAAACGTGCCAACCAGATCTGCAGGGAGCACCCTTCTCATCATACACTCCACAGCATGTCCATCTTCTCTTCCAGTGTTTGTGTCCTGTATTCGGTCGGTCCGCCTTGTCGTTCCACACGTAGACTATAACTCCGCTCTTTTCTGACCAGTCACCGTCGACTCCTTGATGAGGAGGTGCATATGCGAACAATCCCTTGTCTCCTGCTCATTAAAGAGTTGGTTAGAGAGCGGAGCAGCGATGCAGGGAAGGTGGGAAGGGAATGAACAGCAGATCGAAGAGGATGCCTGGAACGCTGTCACCGCGAATGTCGTAACAGAAGCATGATGGTGCAACCATGTCGAGACATGTGACCATGGCTCTTGCGATAACATCTACCTTGACCAAGAATCCCTCAGAAATCTCTGACGTTAGAACACTTACCTGGCATGTGATCGTAACACACTTGAAAAAGCTAGAAACTTAATGCAAAAGAGGTATCTAACCTGTCATGTGGCCATGATAATTGCAAGCTACAGGAGAGTTGTCATCCGGATTGTAAGGATTTCCGCAACGCAAGCACGTCTGGAGGTTCTCTGCTCGAGCGGATGCAGAAGCCCCCACATTGGTTCGAACGGAGTTGGTAGCTGACGACGCGGAGCAGACGCTAAGAAACCTCACTTGATGGCGAAGCCTATGCTGTGCTAGGGAGCCAGTCTGAATAGTTCTGTTCACGGCCAGGGACGCCATGGTTTTGGGTCAACCTCGAAATTCTCTTCCCAAGCCAAATTCCTAAAGCTCAAGTTGAGGTCGAAATGAACGCAAGAGATCAGGGTATGAGAGAGCAGAAAAAAACTTTATTGATGTCAACTCAGAATATCGGGTTAACGCTGTATCGAGATTGCTTCCTGCTGTTTCCTTGATTGGTTCCCTGGTGCCACGTTGATTTGCACACACGTGAGTTCCGAAGCTACCATCGAGGATGAAAAATGAAGCGTGTGTGGGACCACATTTTTCCAGCCTGGCACCATGAATCATGCTGATGAGGCGGATTGCGAATTTGCTAATTGGTGCATTCCGTTTCTTTCAGCCGACCGATTTGAGGCAAGGGTTTTCTCAAGTGTTATCGAACGGCCCTCGATCAATCCCAATGTCTCGAACCTGTGTCCTGACCCCTGATCTGTCTGAACAATGAACTCCTCCAGCACGGGTTTTGAATCCTGATATGGTCCATTCACAAATCTGACTTGCTGAACACACTGGAATTCAGTCGTAGAATCTATTTTCTGAAGTCGGGTCGCAGTGTAACTTGATTGGGGTCTCTGTCTAGTCGTTCCTGATCATATTTCCGGGTGCTTGCTAACTTGGTCGAATCCCAGACCAGCGTTCCATCATGGCTGCCCTCGAAGATTACTGCGACAGGGACCTCATGTCCGAGCTGTTGAGGCGAATGAAATGCGCTCCTAAGCCAGAGAAGAGAGTTATTCTGATCGGTAAGTTTTTCTCATGTGTCTCCCTCATTTGATCCCTCGCAATCACCCTGTCCATTCCGTCCTCTTCAGCATATCGTTTCGACAGTGGGTTGTGCTTTCTGATTCTCTTATGTTCCTGTTTCCAGGTCCTCCCGGTTGCGGTAAGGGTACACAGTCTCCCATCATCAAGGAGGAGAACTGCCTGTGCCATCTAGCCACCGGCGATATGCTCAGAGCAGCCGTCGCTCAAAAAACGCCGCTGGGCATCAAGGCAAAAGAGACCATGGAGAAGGTATGTCGCATGAATGCTCGCGTCGCTATGCACCCGGCCGTGGTAGCTGTGGTTGCCTGTCGTATTTTATCCCCGCTTCAAGCATTTCACTCTTAACATTCGCGATTCATTTTGTCCATGTTCAATCTACCAACTGTGTCCAACCAGGGTGAGCTCGTGTCTGACGAACTGGTGGTGGGCATTATCGAGGAAGCTATCAAGCGGCCGTCCTGCAGCAAGGGTTTCATCCTTGACGGCTTCCCTCGCACGGTCGTTCAGGCAGAGAAGGTAAGCGAATGCGACTATCTCTCATCTGTGTCACGTCGCCATTGGGATCGGTTTGCATGGACCATGTTTCCAATAGAGCATAAGATTCATGAGGTGTTGGGGAGAAAATATCAGGATGTGAACAATGTGCCCCAACGTCTAGGTTCCTGGTTCTACCCTCAAGGGGGAAAGTCGCCGGCATGTGGATTATTATTCCAGGCGTCGTTGTTGTGTCCCATACTGTTTTTAACAGCTTGACGCGATGCTGGAGAAGAAGGGTCAGAAGATCGATAAGGTTCTCAACTTCGATGTTCCTGACGCCGTCTTGGAGGAGAGGATCACCGGCCGGTGGATCCACCCTGCCAGCGGACGTTCCTACCACACCAAGTTTGCTCCTCCGAAGGTTCCTGGAAAGGATGATGTGAGTGGTTCTTTTGACGAAACGGGAGGGTTGAATGAGGAATATTTGACTACAAGAATAGAAAAACGGTGTGGGGTGCTTGGGACGTTTCGTTCGCTCTCTCAATCCCTTTGCTCTCTCTCCATCCCTCCCTCTCTCCCTCCCCCTCTCTCTCTCTCTCTCTCTCTCTCTCTCTCTCTCTCTCTCTCTCTCTCTCTCTCTCTCTCTCTCTCTCTCTCTCTCTTTCTCTTCTGACGCACTTACACACTCAGTCACACCCACGTACACACACTCACACTCACCTACAGTCGCTTTCATTCGCTTTCACTCTGACACATTCTCAAGCCAAGGGGTCGCCTTTCTTTAATGTCATCATTTCCGTTTCCCCGTTTGACTGTTTACTGCCAGGTCACTGGCGAGCCCCTGATGCAACGGAAAGATGACAATGCGGAGACTCTTCGCAGCCGACTGGCGGCATTCCACAAGCAGACCTCACCAGTAAGTAAACTGGCACCCTTATCTACTCCGTCTATCTCCACATTTTTTAGATCCTTCACATGCCTTCTGGCCTATTTTGTTCGGCTAATTCTCGGCACTAATTTTCATCTTTTATGTTGGCATTTGCAGGTCATTGACTACTACGCTGTTAAGGGCAAGGTTGCCAACTTGCATGCAGATAGGAAGCAGGAAGAAGTTACTGCTGAGGTTCGCGCTGCCATGAAATGAAGCTTTGTAACAACACCTGCTGGGTTTTTGATACTGTAGGTGAATAGGGCAGTCATGATACTCTCAAACCATCAAGAATTCTTTACGCTCTGCTCAAAATTGCGTGGGGCAGTTTCAGATTACACCCCAAATGTGGAACCACTCCTTCCCGCACTGAAGTGAGCTGATGAGGACGGCTTTTGGATATGAATGCTAAAGCCATAGCACAATCTATCAAGGCTACCTTCCCTCTCTTTCCTAGGTAACATGTGATTGGGGATGATTTCCATGTCAATGCGTAATCAGGGAAATATATTAATGCTGTGGCAACCATGCACATAGTCATGGATGACTGTACGATCAGTCACACGCAGAAACAGGTGCACAAACACGCAGAATAAGTTGTTCGCGACCTTATACAGTTGCTTTGATCCTCCCACTGTTCTCCCGCCCAGCCACCTATAAAAACCAACACAAAACGAATGCAATTCGAGCCTCGCCACATGTCATCAGCGTAAATTCTCCCACAATCCTGCTAGATCCTCTTCCCCATGCCTTGCGGTAAGAACGCTCGAGCAAGGGGTCACTGATATCTTGCTGGTTTACGCTTCGTGCCATCTCGTCTGGGCCATGCATGTAGGGGGGATGTCGCATAAATCGTCCGCAATCTCTGCAGCCTCTCGACATCACCCGTGATTCGGGGGTAGCAAAAGTGGCGAAGATGGTTTGGTTCGGTAATAGACGATTTAGGCAAACGTGATAATGCGGTACGTCGCGGCAATATTATCGATCTGCGGATTCCTAGGATCCTAGAAACCGACGACATTGGATGTGTTTCTCGTTCTTCTGTCAGTGAGCGACGACGTTTTCGCCTGTGACGAGCATGATGCAGGTAACCGTCGTTGAGCATGACACTGAGCATGGCAATGAGCATGGGATTGAGCATGACATCGATCATGACATCGATCATGGCAAGCTTGACATTGGCCATGGCATTCAGCTTGACATTGAGCATGACGTCAAGGTATGCAGCAGTTCACGCAGTGCGCTTGGCTCCTAACATGCTCGTGAGCATGCAGACTCCAAAAAAAGGCCCAAACTTTCATCACGTTCCTAATTTTCATCAGTTTTCCACTTCCATCACATGATCCACATCCATTTACTTCTTAGTGGTGCTTCGCTTCTCCAACTCCAGCTGAATTCTTCTCACGGATGCCTTCTCTCGTATGGCGTCGTTTTAGGCTGTCTCTGTCGGATCTCTAGAGAGAGGCACTCGGCCTCCTGTCCGACATCTCTCCAGCTTATCTCTCTGAAAATACAAGCATGGGGCTGCCTGGGAGGAGCGGGCATGGGCACAGGCAGGAGGGGAGGAGCAGCAGTGAAAGAAAGGAGAAGGAAGAGTGGGGAGGACATCAGAGGAAGAGGGGGAAGCGGGCGAAAGGGGAGGCGGGTGAAAGGGAGGAGGGGAGGGAAGAGGGACGAAGAGGAAGCAAGAAGAGGGGATTAGCTCAGATCACAGATCTTCGATTTACTCCCATCTTTCAAGCATCCGTCCCTCAGAATCAAGTCTTTAGTATCGCATTGCACCCCTTGCATCTGAAAGCTTAATAACATCTGTATTTATTTAGGTCGTTGAACAACCTATTTCCATCCCACCAGCTATTCAGCCGAACAATGCCAGCCGAACACTTAGCTAGCTGCTCTCTCCCTCCTACCCAGCAGCTCGATTATTCACACTGAGCAGCTAAGCTTCTGCTTACTGCTGCTTGATTATTCACTTCCCAGCCATCCTCCCATCCGCTACTGGAATAGGGCGACAGTGACAGCGCCTGCTTGATGCTGTACCCACCCTTACATCCCTTCCCTTACATCCCTTCCCTTACATCCCTTCCCTTACATCCCTTCCCTTACATCCCTTCCCTTACATCCCTTCCCTTACATCCTCCCCTTACTCTCTCACTCCTGAAACAGCGCCTGGGCTTTCATGATTTCGACTCGAGCCAGCCCAATCATCCCCCCTGCAGCTTGCTCCTGCACCCACCCGCCCTGCAGCTCTCCCCCCACCTCCTCCAAAGTCGCAACACTATTATCCAGCTGCTCCCGCACCAACTCCCGCCTCCCCTCATTAATCAGCACCTCTGCATCACCCAGTGCTTTCACCACATCCCTGAGGTCCTCCTTCTGAGAGTCGTTACCAGGGGGGAGGATGCCATGTGCCTTGCGCACCAGAACTGCCGCGCCTTTCAGGAGGATGATGATGAGATGGTCCTTCTTGGACGGCTTGCGGGGTGGGGGAGGAGGAGGAGGAGAGGGAGAGGGCGGAGGAGGGGATTTCTTCTCAGGCGGGGGTGGCAACTTTTTCTCGGGCGGAGGGGGCGATTTGTGCTTGGGTGGAGGAGGAGACTTGTGTTCGGGCGGCGGGGGCGACTTTTTCTCAGGGGGAGGAGGGGACTTGTGCTTGGGGGGAGGGGGTGACTTGTGTTCGGGCGGAGGAGGGGACTTTTTCTCGGGCGGAGGAGGAGAATTGTGTTTGGGTGGCGGGGGAGACTTGTGTTCGGGCGGCGGCGGCGACTTCTTTTCGGGGGGAGGGGGTGACTTGTGCTTGGGGGGAGGGGGCGACTTCTTTTCAGGCGGAGGGGGGGACTTGTGCTCGGGCGGAGGGGGGTACTTCTTCTCGGGCGGCGGGGGCGACTTGTGCTTGGGCGGCGGGAGCGACTTGTGCTTGGGCGGCGGGGGCGACTTGTGCTTGGGCGGCGGGGGCGACTTGTGCTCGGGCGGCGGGGGCGACTTGTGTTCGGGAGGAGGGGGCGACTTTTTCTCAGGAGGAGGGGGGGACTTCTTGGGAGGGGGAGGGGACTTCTTCTTGGGTGGAGGGGGAGAGGGAGGAGGAGGGGAAGGGGACGGAGGAGGAGGGGAGGGCGGAGGCGACTTATGGAACTTATTGAATTTGTCCTTTAACTTGTCCTTCAAGGGGAAGGGCAGCTGGGGCAGGCGAGGCAGTGGGATGTTGAAGTTGAGAACGTTGAGATAGGACTGTGCAGGGAACACGTTGAAGGGACCGCCAGCACCACCACCGTCACTGTGTGGGATGCAAGGGTGACGAGCGGAGCGAGGAGAAGGTAGGGATCAGGATGTTATTTTTTTTTGTGGGGATAGAAGAGCAGGGTGTGTGGATGTCGTTTTGAAAAAGAGTGCAACAACAGCTACAACTGTGTCAATTGCATTAGTATGAAGTAGTCTGGTGGTGGTAATGCAGCACGATGGTGATGCTGAACTGAGGATGAATCTGGGGTGGGGTGTCTTGTGAAGGTGTGGCCTCACCTCAACTCCCGGGAAGTCCGCCTTGCATCCTTCCTACCGGGCCACGACGGCACATCACCTGCAGATACAGTGAAGGTTCATGGCGTGATCGGCATGCAAGCAGGGTCAGTGCGTCTCCACCAACAAAAGTAAGATGCGTTATGAGTATGGATCAACAGTATAAATTCCCGCAGCCTTGAGGAATTATTTACGGGCAAGAAACGACAGCTTGCTATTGAGGTGCTGTAAGTGAGTGAAAAGGTGAAAGCCTTGTAAATTGAAATGTTGTTTGCATGCAAAGACTATCTCGGAGTGGTTCCGATAAACTTACCTGCCACGCAAGCACTCAAACATCCAGTTGCAATGATCCACAAGAGGACCACCCTCTTCAGATTCGCGCTGCACGCCGCCATGCTCCCGCTCGTTGCCAGCCAGCAGCCCCTGCCAACTTTGGCGCCAAAGCTGTGGCACCTAAGTCGACTTCTCCGCAGGCAGGCGGACTGAAGCCTGCGGAAGACACCCGCGACCGACTGGGAGAACGCTAGAAACGAACCGAAACAGAGGCAGGAAGGAGGATGCGTTTTCAACCTCCAGGAGATGGTTTGTGCTGAGCTGACCTGACTTCGGATGATATGGGTAGTCAGAATGAGTTCCATTTGTAGTGATACTGCTGTTGCTGCTGCTGGGGCTGTTGGGTTGGCTTGGGTGTGTGAAATTCGAAATCAGGGATTTGAGAAATGCGGTTCGGGAATGCTGTCGCCGGTTGCCTTGGGAGGACCCGCGTCGCGCTGTCGTAGTCAATCTGGTCGTCGGGTCCGTCAGGTTTGGTGAGGGTAGTTGACATGGCGACGGAAGAGACGTCGATTCTGCCCTTTGTCAATCGTTGCGATTCGCTTGGGCGAGTGACTTGACTTACGGCTCAAAAGTCAGCGATGTCACTGCCTAGAAACGATAAGTGTTATCCCACATATTATATGGATTTAACAGCAGACATGCTTGAAACAGCTTTTATTGCTTCCGACACGATATACAAATGGTAGAAAGGCCTCGGTCACATGCACGAAACTTCACACATAATCTGATGGCATGCACCAGCTATGACGCTCAATTTGATTAAACATGGTTGTGACTTAGCAAGGGATCAGGAGAATGAGCAGAGTCGGGAGTTGAAAGATAATTTTGTAGAGCTGGTGGAGAGGACGCAAGGGAGAGGGATAGATTCGAGTACACTGGCAAAGGATCAGCTGCGACTGGAGTGAATGGTGCTGGGGAGGGGTGTAATTCGGGCAGGCTATGGGTTGCTCCTGCCGGAGAGGGGTATGATACAGGTTGCACCTCCTCACTCTGTGGATGCAAGCTAACCTCGAGAACACTCATCTCCATATTTGGTCCATCCCTCCTGCGCTGCCTCCTGTGCCCGTGCCTTCTTCTCCCCCTCTCCAGCCCCCTCCCCTCCTCACGCCCTCTCCCTCCCTCCCCCCCTCTTCCCCACCCGCTCCACCACAGGCCCAACATGTGTTGCTGCCTTCCTTGCTGTGATCTCCCGTGCTCCCTCTGCTGCCCCTGTTGCTCTCGACTCTCTTCCCTTCCCACACCCACTGCTGCCACTCCACCCGCCTCCTCCTCGCCCCCATGCCCCCTCTCATTCCTCTCTCGCACCCCCTCCCTCTCCTCCTCCGTTCTCCTTGCTCTATACCGCACTACAATCTCTTGGTACCACGGGTCACCACTCACTCTGAATCGCGATACAGGGATGTGCCTGAGCATGTCTGAAAAACTTCCAGGAAACATTCGTAACCGCTGGATTTTTTTGGGAGAAGCCATTGGTTGGAAAAAGAGAGGAGGCACATGGAGGGAGGAGGGGTTGGTGGAGGGTGAAGTGAGAGAGGGAGGGTTGGTGGAAGGTGGGGTGAGAGAGGGAGGGTTGGTGGAGGGTGAAGTGAGAGAGGGAGGGTTGGTGAAAGGTGGGGTGAGAGAGGGAGGGTTGGTGGAGGGTGAGTAAGAAACGTCTGCTAAAAACATTAGGAGAAATATTAACAGAGGCGATTCGTGAAAAGCAACTGCACTCGCTTGGAAAGGAAGCCGTGGGTTTATCAAGGCTGGGCAGGCATGAACTGATGCGAGGGGGTTGCGATTTGAGAATTCTCAAGAGTAACCCTAGCATGCCCATGCTTTTGCGGTGAATTGTTTTGTGAGTGACACATGCTTACGTAAGGCCATGTGTCGGTGCGAGGAGGAGGAGCGGATCGGCCTACAAGCCTTGCAAGCAAGCGACGCTCAGCAAGCTCCATCTAACAGGGAGGTTGGAAAGGGAAGGGGGGGGGGGAGAGAAAGGCGGGAGGAAAGGAACAGTGGAAGAGAGGGTTGGATGGGGAAACAAGCATGCAGGTGAGCAAGGTCAATCGGCCTACAAGCCTTGCAAGCAAGCGTCGCTCATCAAGCTCCATCTAACAGGGAGGCTGGCAATGAGAGGAAAGAAAGACGGGGGAGAAAGGCGGGAGCAGGTGAGCAGGCTCAATCGGCCTACAAGCCGACGCTCATCAAGCTCCATCTAACAGGGAGGTTGGCAATGAGAGGAAAGAAAGATGGGGGAGAAAGGCGGGAGCAGGTGAGCAGGCTCAATCGGCCTACAAGCCGACGCTCATCAAGCTCCATCTAACAGGGAGGTTGGCAATGAGAGGAAAGAAAGACGGGGGAGAAAGGCGGGAGCAGGTGAGCAGGCTCAATCGGCCTACAAGCCGACGCTCATCAAGCTCCATCTAACAGGGAGGTTGGCAATGAGAGGAAAGAAAGACGGGGGAGAAAGGCGGGAGCAGGTGAGCAGGCTCAATCGGCCTACAAGCCGACGCTCATCAAGCTCCATCTAACAGGGAGGTTGGCAATGAGAGGAAAGAAAGACGGGGGAGAAAGGCGGGAGCAGGTGAGCAGGCTCAATCGGCCTACAAGCCGACGCTCATCAAGCTCCATCTAACAGGGAGGTTGGCAATGAGAGGAAAGAAAGACGGGGGAGAAAGGCGGGAGCAGGTGAGCAGGCTCAATCGGCCTAAAAGCCGACGCTCATCAAGCTCCATCTAACAGGGAGGTTGGCAATGAGAGGAAAGAAAGACGGGGGAGAAAGGCGGGAGCAGGTGAGCAGGCTCAATCGGCCTAAAAGGCGACGCTCATCAAGCTCCATCTAACAGGGAGGCTGGCAATGAGAGGAAAGGGATGAAGGGACTGGGGGACGGGGTGGGAGGGTCACTGTGTGAGGATTGACAGATCGGCTTACAAGCCTTGCAAGCAAGCGTCGCTCATCAAGCTCCGTCTAACAGGGAGGCTGGCACTGAGAGGAAAGGGGGATGGAAAGGGATGGCGGGCAAGGAGAATGGTGGTGAATGGTGAAAGGAAGTAAAGAAGCTAATGAGTTTATTGAGCTCAAGGTGTGTTCACTGGTAGGAAGTGGAAGTAGCAGGATGGGAAGGAGGTGCACGGATGTGCATTGGAACAAATCTATATTGAGTATAAAGTGTAATTACAGATAGCATATGGAATCTGATGTGGGTGGGGAGAAGGATGAGAAGGATGGAGAAGAGGAGGAAAGGACGAATGGAAACGAGGGGAATGCAATCTATATTGACTACGAAGTGTACTTACAGATAGCATATGGAATCTGATGTGGATGGCGAGTAGGATGAGCAGGATGCAGAAGAGGAGGAAAGGACGAATGGAATCAAGGACTGATATGATTGTTACTGTAGTCTGGATAAAGATGTACAGGGACATCATGCTCTGTAGTGAGGAAGCCAACAACAGGGATGAAAAAGGCAGTGGGTTATTGCATAGACAGGGATCAGAGAACTAAGGTAAGAATCCGGAGAGCAAACTAACAGAGGGCAGGTACCAGGAGATGAAAGTTTCTTTCCTATGCTGTTTCCTGGTGAAAGTTTCTTTCCTATGCTGTTTCCTGGTGAAAGTTTCTTTCCTATGCTGTTTCCTGGTGAAAGTTTCTTTCCTACGCTGTTTCCTGGTGAAAGTTTCTTTCCTATGCTGTTTCCTGGTGAAAGCTTCTTTCCTATGCTGATTCCTGGTGAAAGTTTCACAAAGGCCAGGTACCAGGAAACAGAATAGGAAAAAAAGAAAGGCAAATTGAAAACAAAGAAACAAAGAAATAATGAAAGAATTTAAGAATGAAAAAGAGGGTGGACAGGCAGGGATGGAGCCTTGCAGGAAAAAAACAGTGGGGTGAGGAACAAAGTGGGAGGGGAAGGGGGGTGACGGGAGGTAGAACACGGCAGAGGAGAGAAACAGGAACACAATTTTGGTGTGACTTCTGAGAATTCTCAAAAGAACACAAGGGGCAGGGATGGGGCAGCCGCCGCAGCAAAAGCAGCAGCAGCAGCAGTAGCAACAGCAGCAGTAGCAACAGCAACAGCAGCAGCAGCACATACCACGTTGTTGTAATGAGCACCAGCCAAGCCAAGGCTTGCAATCACCAGGTACAGAATGCTGAGGGCATGGGGAGGAGAGGAAAGGGGCGGAAGGGGGAATCAGAATTGTAGCTCAGAGTTAGGCCAAGGGTTACAGTTACCAGGTACAGAATGCTGGGGTGTGGGCAAGGGGGGCTGGGAGGGGAAGGAGGGGGAAGCAGAGAAGATGGGAACAAGACCATAGTTCAGGGCTAAGGCACAACATATAACTGCAAGAAAGCTCCCAGAAGTTACAGGATAACAAGGTCGTTCACTCCTAGGCTCAGTCACTCACAGGTTCGGTTCGGCAACTCACAGGTATGACATGGCAATCCAGAGGGTTTGTGAAGTGAGCATGGATGCTGCCATGCCATCAAGAAGAGCAGCAATTGGCACATCATTCCTGCTGCTACCACCATCACCACCACTGCTACTATCACCGGTGATGTTGCTGCTGCCCGGAACGTTACTACTGGAAGTGCCGCTGCTGCTGCTGCTGCTGCCAGTGGTGGCGCTGTCAGAGAGGTAGCTATATCCATTGAGCGATATGTCAGGATGATAATTTCCATCAACACTGCTGCTGCTGCTGCTGCCAGTGGCGATGGTGCTGCCAGAGAGGTAACTGTGCCCATTAAGCGACATGTTGGGATTATAATTTCCATCAACACTGCTCCCATCAACCCCACCAACACTGCCGCTGTTGCTGCTGGCGCTGTAGCCACTGCTGCTGGCGCTGTAGCCACTGCTGCTGGCATGTGAAGGAAGGGCAGCAGCAGGAGGGTTGCCGTTGGTGGTATTTGCAGCAGCAGGGGCGCCAGCGGTGCTGTTGACAATGATGCCAGCTGGGAGGAAAGAGGGGAGTTCAGAGAGGGAAAGGTGGGTGGTGAGAGGTGAAGAGTGGTTCACCAGCTGACCGGTCTTTGAGTATTACTTGTCCATATTTTTTCTGTGTTGTATTCTGAGGTTCGATGTCAGGTACGTTCTGAGGCGCGTTGTGAGGCGCGCTGTGACGTGCCGCAGTCATCGACTGACAGAACCATTCTTTTGGGTTTGCACTCATAGGGTGGATATGCACTCACAGAGAAAGGCAGCGATATAGAGGAGGCAGCCCAGCAGCAGACACATTCTGAGGTGCTGCAGCCTGCACCGCCTGTACCGCCTGGATTGCACTCACAGAGAAAGGTGCGTCTGGGGCAGCACTCACAGAGAAAGGTGCGTCTGGGGCAGCACTCACAGAGAAAGGTGCGTCTGGGGCAGCACTCACAGAGAAAGGTGCGTCTGGGGCAGCACTCACAGAGAAAGGTGCGTCTGGGGCAGCACTCACAGAGAAAGGTGCGTCTGGGGCAGCACTCACAGAGAAAGGTGCGTCTGGGGCAGCACTCACAGAGAAAGGTGCGTCTGGGGCAGCACTCACAGAGAAAGGTGCGTCTGGGGCAGCACTCACAGAGAAAGGTGCGTCTGGGGCAGCACTCACAGAGAAAGGTGCGTCTGGGGCAGCACTCACAGAGAAAGGTGCGTCTGGGGCAGCACTCACAGAGAAAGGTGCGTCTGGGGCAGCACTCACAGAGAAAGGTGCGTCTGGGGCAGCACTCACAGAGAAAGGTGCGTCTGGGGCAGCACTCACAGAGAAAGGTGCGTCTGGGGCAGCACTCACAGAGAAAGGTGCGTCTGGGGCAGCACTCACAGAGAAAGGTGCGTCTGGGGCAGCACTCACAGAGAAAGGTGCGTCTGGGGCAGCACTCACAGAGAAAGGTGCGTCTGGGGCAGCACTCACAGAGAAAGGTGCGTCTGGGGCAGCACTCACAGAGAAAGGTGCGTCTGGGGCAGCACTCACAGAGAAAGGTGCGTCTGGGGCAGCACTCACAGAGAAAGGTGCGTCTGGGGCAGCACTCACAGAGAAAGGTGCGTCTGGGGCAGCACTCACAGAGAAAGGTGCGTCTGGGGCAGCACTCACAGAGGAACGCGGCGATATAGAGGAGGCAGCCCAGCAGCAGCAGGCACGCGAACACCCTCTTGGTGCTCTTAAAGCCCGCCTCCCACTTGGGGTCCAACAGAGGTTCCATGCCAGCTGTGCCGTTTGGCGCCTGTAGCGCATCCAACGTGGCCTGAGAGGAGGACCGCGGGATGACAGGTGGCAGCACCAGGTGCACCGCTTCTATCCACGTGGAGCCCTCTGATTCGCCTGATGCGGTCACTGGCAGCGGCGGCGGAGGGTGGGGTGGGGTGTTTGGGGCGGGGGGGGGGGGGGAAGTGGGAAAAGGAGGGGAAGGGGTGAGGAAAGTGAGGGGGGACCAAATTGTGTTTGTAAAGGGGATAGGTACATGATGATCAGTTGAAAGGGGAGGGGGAATACACTGGATTTAGACAGGCTAAAGAGGTAATAGCAGTTTGTAAACGAATCAAGTGAGCTGAGATACGTAGTTTGGGTCACCCCTACATCGAATCCTACTATTTCTGGCAATACTACTATATCTGGCACTGCTACAACCTCTGCTAGCGTTATATCCTTACCAGTGTCTCCGTCCCCACCTTCCCCGCCGCCTCGTTTCTCTCTACTATCCCTGCCAGACATCTTGTATCCTTACCGAAATGGAAGTCCATCAGGTCGTCTCCGTCCCCACCTCCCCCGCCACCTCGTTTCTCTCTACGCCCGCCGCCCTTGCCTCCCTCGCGGCTACAGCTGCTGTCGTCGCTACAGTAACTGCTACAGTAGCTGCTGCAGCTGCCGCTACAGCTGCCGTCACTCTCCCCCCCTCCCATCGCGTGGCTGCCTTCTGCCGGGTCATAATACGCGTTTATGGCAGCCCCGTTATGCGCCTCAGCGTGGCAGAAAATGCTGCAGGATTTCTCTAACATTATACACTCAGGAGATGTTCCTTCATCCCCGCTACAAGCCCACATATCTGCATCGATCTTTTGCTTCTCCTTTAGCTCTTTAACGGGACTTTTACTCTTGCCACGTTCCCCTTTGCTCGCGTCCCGCCCTTGGCCCACATCCCCGTTATAAGCAACCTGCGTTCCAACAAAGAACGACAAACCAGGCCCATGTATCACCACAGATAGCGGCCGCTGATCATTACTTTCACGCCCCCCTTGTTCCGCACCCCCGTTCGTCCGCCCATTCCTCCGTTCCCCCTCATCGCCCCCCTCATGCGCATTAGCGGATTCCGCCGCAGCTCTCCGCCCGGCCCCCCTCGTCCTGCTCCTTCTCCTTCCCTGCGCCTCTCTTTCCGCCCCTTCCGCGCGACGCGTAACCCTCCTTGCGCCCCTCGTTGCACGTGCGCCGAACCACATCCTCTGCGCCGACGCTCTCCCGCGCAATCTTTCCTCCGCGCTACCTCCTCCCGCGCTCTCCACCGACTGCGCGCCCCCCGCGTCGGCAAACTCAGGGCCAAGCGCATGCTCGGCACGGCCGCTGCTGACGTCATCGTCCGCGCGACCCGGACTAGAGTTACTAGAGCTACTGGAGCTGCCGCTGCTGCTGCTGCTGCTGCTGCTGGCGGTGGAGTCGTTACTCGTACTGGAACCGAACCTGCTGTCGGACCTGCTTGTAGCGGAGCTGTTAATAACGAAGCAGTGCGTCAGTCGCGCGCTTGACCACGCTGCGCTCGCGCTCGTTGTTGTCACGCCGAAGCATCCGCTGCTGCGGACGCCGTCGGATCTCTGCCCGGTGGCGCCGTTGGCGCCGTCGGAACTTGAATCCTGGCCGTCGATCACAATCTCGACATTGTCGCCGCGCGCGAGCAGCAAGCGCCTGGCTTCCGCTTCCGACCCGTCTTCCGCCTCCGCTTCCGCTTGCACTTGCGCTTCCGCTTCCGCTTCCGCTTCACGAGCGGGAGGAGAAGCGATAGCAGATGAGGGGACTATAAGAGAATCGCTGGTCGAAGTCGTGACTACAGACGTGACTAAAGCAGAGCCGCTGCTACTGCTGCTGCCTGCGCTGGCGGCGGCGCATTCGCCGCAATCTGAGCAGTCGGCGTTCTGATGGAAACACCTGCGGTCCGGGGGCTGTTGTTCCATGCTAGTTACCTCTGCTTGGACGGAGATATATACTTTTCACTACACTCGCTCTGGTGACTTTCGAGTCGACGTAGCAGTCAACTCTGCCTGTATAAACCTTGACACTCGCTACAGTAGTGGCATTAGCTTGCCATAGCACGTACGGCCGCTAAAATCGCAACCACCGCTGCAGGCACATCGCATTGCGTCACATGCACGGCGTTGATGAGCTCACGAACTCCCATAAAATGTCGAGACTACTGACACTCACAAATGTTGAAATGCATGGCGAGTATATGAACTTGGAGAAATGCTTCAACTCGGAAACGTGTGTGCCAAGCCTGCTTTCAGAACGATGATTTCTCCTCTTTGGTTGCTTATTGTTCACTTTTTTTTTTTCCCGTGATCGATAATACCACCTTCCAGCTTGGGCGCAGCAGAGCCTTCCGCGCTGGAAAGGCAGAATACGCCGCTGGTATCGACAACTCTGGAATGTCGGCTGAAGGTCCCCACGAATTCAACCAAGCTTGACAGCTTCAGGCTGGACACTACTGACCCGTTGATACAAGAAATGGCTGCTTGTCGAAGTTGGTCGGAGAGGGGAAAGAAAGCAGCGGGGAAAGAAAGCAGCGGGGAAGAAACATCACTCACCTCGAAATTCACGCGAATTTCAGTTTCACATCGCCGTTGAGATGATGCTGGCGAGTGCGATACGTAAATCTCGAAACGATGGACGGATGAGATGTGACGGTTTTATGCTACGATTCTGGGGGCAGCATGCGCTGCCAGTTGCTGCGGGGTTCGTGATGCCCACTTGGAAAATGTGGGATGGGAAGGGATCATGCGGGGCCCGCACAATGCCACAGCTGGGAGAATGACGTCAGTCCCTGGGGGCTACGGCGCGCAGCCGTAGCCCAGAGATTCGGCCTGCGCAGCTGGTTCTTTGATTGGGTGGGGGACAAAAGGGCACTTGCGGGGGTTTCTCCGCGGGAACGCTGGTTCGGTCGTTGGGCTGGTTGTAGGTGGTGGTGGTGGGGTGATGTGTAGGTATGTTCATTGATGGGGATGTGAATCACTAGATCGATGTGATGATTGCAGATGCAAAACATCCGTTGTTCCAAGACTCTAGTTTGCCTGCAAGAAATTCAGTTTCCTCACGCTGCCTCGTTTTCCTCCACCAGGGTGATGTGCTGCGTGTGGGCTTCCAACCAGACTAAACGGATGGGTCGAACGAGGACTGGACTGACAACCCACAGATGTGTTGTGTGCGTTGATTTGTGCGACACGTCTGTCCATTTGGTGGGAAAATCAACGGTAAAGCATCACGGGGATTGGGTTAGACGTCGGCGAATCAAAAGTTCCCACGGAGAAGCAGCCGGAAGTGATACAATTCGACCGACCGGGTGACTGGTCGGATATTCTTAGGACTACCAACCAGGAATCAAGAATCCGAAAATTCCCACAATTTCGGAAGAAGCTTGTTCCTCGTTGGTCAATGACGTCAATCTGCAACATAGCTGTAAAGACCTGAGATCATTTGGTGGATCCACGGATATACCCCTTAACAGCCTTACATCCTGTACGTTAAAGAGAGCAGGCAAAATAGTGAAGGAAGGCCCAGTTTGAAAGGCTGGCACTGTTTCAGGAGGGTGCTCCATGCTCGACAAGAAATGAATCACTATTCGTGAAAAACCTTGGCCCAGTCAGGCAGGCATTGTGGGCATTCTGGGCATTATGGCCATTCTGGGCATTCTGGGCAGGCCCCCAAAAAATGCCCCCTCAAAACATCTGCAAAATCAAACTGTAGCTGCAACCAACCTTCGGAATAACGGGCTAGAGTGTTCGGCTGGCATTCCATTGTTAACGGGAGTGGAGTGTTGGCCCCTCCCTCGCTTGGGCAACGTCGACAACTTCGTCAGATGTACGGGCGAAGCAGCCGACTGTTCATAGTGGGAGAGCTGCTCGACAGGCTTCGTCGAGCTGCAAGGGACTACTGTGGTGTTGTTGTTGACCAGGGAGCTCGACAGCTGCAACTGGTCTGGGCGACAGGTGGGCCATCGACCACGAGGGTCAGTTCAACATTGAGGTCGACAAAGAAGTCCGTCGACCTGCAGCTTGACTTGGAGCAGTCCGTCGACCTGCAACTTAACCACGAGAAGTCTGTCGACCTGCAGTTCGACCGGGAGGTCGACGGAGCAATCCGTCGACCTGACAAGTGAGCAGCGGTTGACGAGGGGAGCTCGGGGACAACCGCTGACGGTTCTGGTTGACGGAAGGGGTACGTCGAACAGGGGGTAGCGCGATGGGGTTGTTGTCGACCAGAGGCACCTGATGGTCGACCAGAGGGGCCTGGTGGTCGACCGGAGGCACTTGGGGGTCGACCAGGCCGGCCTGGTAACCTACACGACAAATTCTGCCGAGGCACGCAAACGTCGTCGAGGTCGCGATGGCAAAGGCGACTGCGAGCTGGTATCCCGAAGTCGATATGGCTCGTCAGGTGCAGACAACAGCCGACGTATGCCCAACGAGGCATGGCAGGCCAATCGTCTACACGCACATGTGAGCGTGCGCACTGCTGTGCTCTACAGGGCAACGCTGGACACCCGCTCTGCTGCAGTGTTGGCACACCGTCGACCTGCTCTGTTGGCAGGTCGCCTTTCTGCAGTGCTGGCGCGACTCCTCTACGCAACGTTGGCACACGGTCGACCAAGCGGTGCTGGCGATTGACCAGGCTAGCTCCGGGGTTGCTAGGTGCCTGATGTGGTCATTGTGTCATTACTTGTTCAGATCATTATGGAATTTCGACTTTGCTAGTAAAAACTCTTGCCGATTTCTCATGGGAATGTGCAAGCACTAAGGAACAAAGCAAAGCTACGATCATTCCTAGTAGTTCGTGCCAATCCCCGTAGTCATCGCTCACTACCATTGTAGAGTGACTCCCCTGTCAGAATGTTATAATTGTCTAGCCTGTAGTGGGGTACTCCATAGCGAGTACAACCCAATTAGGGTTTCCTATATGTATTCCAACTGCTGCTAGTGCAACCGTTCTCTCTTCTTCATTCCTTATTCTTTCACATGCTATCAGAGCATCTACGCTCCTGGCCTATGGGCCCACCCAACTGCTTCCGCTGCTACCCTGTCTCCTTCACGCCCCATGGCGTGCCCCTCGCGCGACCCTTAGCGGCCCCGTCGCCACCCCTTGCGGCCCCGTCGCCGCCCTTCTCGGCCCCTCGCGGCCCCTTCACGGCCCCGTTGCCGCCCTTCCAGGCCCCTCGCGGCCCCTTCGCGGCCCCGTCGCCGCCCCTATTGGCCCCGTCGCCGCCTCCGGCAACCCCGTCGCCACCCCTATCGGCCCTGTCGCCGCCACCAGCGGCCCCGTTGCCGCCCTTAGCGGCCTCGTCGCCGCCCCTATCGGCCCCGTCGCCACCTCCAGCGGCCCCGTCGCCGCCACTTGCGGCCCCGTCGCCGCCCCTCTCGGCCCTGCCTCGACCCTTCCCCGGCCCCGCCCCGGCCATGCTCCGTCGCCTATCGCGGCGCACCGGGGGCACGTGCACCGCCCCCCCCTCTTTTCCCGTGGCCCGTCGCGGCTCCCTCGGGGGCCG